TCCTCATCTGTAAAATGTGGGGTTGGACTAGATGACCTCTAATGTACCTTCAAGTGCTAATGTTAAAGAAGGATAATTAACATATTGGATGAGAGAATTAGGATACAAAAAAAGAATTCAACAGGTTAGAACATTGGGCCAAATTTAGTAAGATGAAATAGAGAGGAATTTTACAGGGATGGTCAGGGTAGGCCTGTGCAGGGCCATCTCATAAAGTATACCCATCCCCATGCACCCTCTATGAGATGAGCCCTCATAAAAAGGCACCCATATAAAGTTTTATACTTGGATTCAGAAAATCAGCTTCACAACTACAAGATGAGAAAGACATGGATAGGCAACAATTCAATTTGGGAATTTTAGCAGACTGATAGCTTGATATGGGACAGCAGTGTGATCTTAGGTTGCCTGAAGAAAGGATGGTACCTCTCTGTATTCTACTCTTTGTCAGATCACATCTAGAGTACTGAGTGCCACATTTTAAGAAGACTATGGATGCACTGGAGAGCATCCAGAGCAAAGTAACCAGAATGGTAAAGGGCCTCAAGTTCATGCCACATGTGGACCAGCTGAAAGAGATAGAAGAAATTTGGGGGGGGGATATGAAAGCAGTGTTTAAACAGTTGAAGGACTATCATGTGGAAAATTAATAGCATTTATAGAGCCCTTTAAGTTTTGCAAAGTACTTTATGTAGTATCTCATTTGATCCTCACAACAATCCTAGGAGATAGGTGCTATTATTATCCCTATTTTACAGATGAGGAAACTGAGTCGCAGAGAGTGACTTGCCCACAATCACAAAGCTACAAAGTGTCCAAAGCCAGACTGAAACTCAGGCTGTTTTGACACCAGGTCCTATGCTCTAATCCACTGTGATGACTGGCTGTCCTTCCTTGTTCTTAGACTTGTTCTTCTTGGCCCCAGGGGGCAGGGTTAGGAGATAGGTAGAAGCTGCAGAGAGGAGGGCTTAGACTTGAAGCCAGGAAAAACTTCTAACTAGTAAGAGCTATACAGAAGTAGAATGGGCTACCTTAGGACACAGGCAGCTACCCCTCACTAGAGGTTTTCAAGTAGTCTAGATGTCATTTGTGTAGAATAAGAGAGAATCTTGTTGGGGTATTGAGCAAATGGGGCTTTGTCCCAGGTGCTATAATCTGGTGGCACACCGGGACTTTTAAAACATGGAGACACTTGAATGGCAAGAATGATTAATTAAAATAGGAAGCTACCAGATCATTCACACCTCTGACCAAAGTGCTGGCAGGTCCCTTCCTGGCCCTGCCTCACACTGCTCCCTGTTGCCTACCACAGATACCTTACTCGCAACTGTTTTGCAGTGCCCCAAATATGTCCACTGTTGTGCTCCCCCAGTTGAATTGAGGCTCTTCCATGCCACTTGCCCCTGGAGCAAAAAGTTCTGCAAAAGCTCTGGGTTGGAACATGCGGCCTCTGGGGCCTCATCCCAGACTCAGGTGGTGTGATTCTGATCTCTGGAGGCCAATGTGGTTCAGAGACATCAGGCCTAGGTTTCTTTTTTCTTGTTTTTGAGGCAGTACGGGTTAAGTGACTTGTCCTGGGTCACATAACTAGTAAATGTCTGAGGTTGAACTTGAACTCAGATCCTCCTGACCCCAGGGCCAGTGCTCTATACATTGTGCCACCTAACTACCGCTAGGCTTAGATTTCATGATGCCTTCCCCTGGTCATGCTGTTACCAGCATGCAGCCTGATTGTTTTTCTCATTCTGACACTGGACTGATAGAGTTCTCTGGCTTCTAACTCAGGTCAGAGCTCAAATGAAAGATGCCCTGAGCCAATGAACACTGGACACCTGGCCCTGGTCCTAGTCCAGTTGTCTGTTCCAATCACTTCCTTGCTCTCAGATTGCTGTGTCATGGCTGCCTTTCCTCCCCAAGACAGTAGTTTACTAGTATCTGGACTCACACTTAGGAAAATTTCTTAAACATATTTTTTAATCAAAAAAGAAAGAGGTCTGGTACTGTAAACCTTCAAACTTTGGGAAACTGGGAGACAGAGACTGACAAAGTGATGATAGATTTAGAACTAGAATAGATCTCAGAGTAGGCTAACACTTTCATCTGACAGAAAAGGAAAGTGAGGTCTAGAGAGATGAAGTGACTTGCCAAGTCATATTGGTTCTAAGTGGTAGGGCCAGGATTTGAATTATTTCTCTCACTTGCAAGTACCGTAGGAATGTCAGGGCTGGAAGAGACTTCAGAGGTCATCTTGGCCAACTCCCTCATTTTACAGTTGAGGAAACTGAAGCCTATGAGGCTCAATGGTTTGCCTAAGATCAAACATAAGAGGCAAAGTTCACATTTGAACCCAATTCTCTGAATCCAAATCTGGTCTTCTTTCCACACTATGCTGCCTCCGTGTCTTCTCTCCCCATCAGCCTAGGAGTTACTAAGAATGAGAACCTTCTCTCTCCCATCACAAGAATTCAGAGCTTGAAGGGACCTCTACTACAACTATCTAATTTAAAAGATGAGAAAACTGAGAGCCAAAGAGAGTAAGTGAATTGGTCTAGTCAGAAACAGGGCTGAGACAAGATCACAGTTTCCCTGACCCATGACTCTCACCCCTGAACCAAGGGAGATGAAGGATCCAGTGAAAGGCATGAGAAAGGGACAAGATATCTGGTTCCTTTCCAAGAGGTGACCCAGCCACATCTTCTTCTTCTGTTGATAGAACTTTGCTACCAGTACAGATAAGTGGTATGGTGTTTGGGCTGGACATGGATTTCTCCTAAGCAAAAAACTTTACATGGGAGCATATATGACCTTAATAGATAAAAAAATAAAAGTAGATGCTTAATTGAAAGTGAGAGACACAAGAACAGAGGCACAGAATGAGGCAAAGACACATAAAGACAAAAATAGATGAACAGAAGAGTGAGCAAGGGACATTCTGGGGTGACCCTATTTTTGGGTCTCCTTGTTCCCCTCCTTCCTCCCACAACCCTGTTGTTACCTTTACTGAATTGATGGCCATTGTCTTCACTCTCCAGGTGCTGAAGATCTTGATAATCCTTTGCCATGTTTGTCCCCCAATCTGGACTCCGCTGGGGTGGGGCAGAGGGAGGACTCAGCCTTCTCCACTGCCCAAATCCATTACCCAGGCCTGATTCTGCCCAGCCCACCTCCACCTGAACCCTGGGATAATTTTCCCACATTTCCCCAGTATTGTAACCTACCAGGATTTTGGGTCTTGGGCACCTGTGTCCCTTGGGGGCAAGCCCCCTGTACTAGGGAGTGGAGTAGGGGGTGAATAGAAGCAGAGGTCTATGTGAAGAGAGTAGAGGTGGGGGAAGGGTATCCCTTAGGGGCAGAGTCCTAAAGAATGCCCAGTGTTCCACTGTCCCTCTCTCAGCATCCCTGGCTTACATGGACTTTGGATGATAAACAGAAACAGGAATCAAACTGGATCAGAGGTAAAAGGGGTGGGACACAGCTCTACTCAACCTATCTCTAAACACATATCTATGCGGGGGGGGGGGGTGGTCCCTATCTCTTCTCCCTAGAAGTGGGGACAAAGTTTTGTACCTGAAGTCTAAGATTACAATTCTTTCCAGACTATTAGTGTGATTGGAGGTAGGGGATAGGGAGATGGCTGGCTCAAGATAAAGGCATTCTATGGGCCTTGGGGAAAAGGCCATTTCTCCTTTTCATTACCTGATTTTGAATTTCCCAGAACTGGTTTCTCTAAATATTCCCAATTAGTTCATATGAGCTGCCTGCCTCAGCGTTACCTTGAGAACTCAAGATATTAAGCTTCCCCATCTCTCACCTGCCTCTTCACACCCCAGAAGGCTTAATGTCAACCCTAGGTCACCAAAAACCCCAGTCAATGAAAGAGATAATTAGAAAGCATCCCTCTCTTTACCAGTTTTTTTTAGACTTGAGAGTAAGCCCTATTTGTAGCCTGGTTGAGGTGCCAGATGAAATAGGGTCTGGGGTACATTGAAGAACAAAATAAAAAGGGCCTAAAAATGGCATTTTATATTTCTTTCTCTCACTATGACACAAAGAAACGGGAGAATTGGAGGTGGAGATTAAAAGAGTAGGCCTAAAGTTATATGGAGGACTCTGATGGAAGTGGGCTTCCCAGAAGAGATTTGCATGTGGGCCTCCATGTAAGTATTAGGCTGACATGAGAGTTCTCAAAACCAGACGTTCACCGTAAGACCCAGATATCAGGATCCCTGGGAAAAAGAAGGTACCATGGGAGGAGATGTTGAATTCTACCTTTTGCAAGATGACCTGCCTTTAGTATCCCAAGTGGGGAGAAAAGCCTTGGTTCCTACAGGATTTGAGGACAGGAAGGACAAGTGATTGGAATGAGGTGATAGATCTTTTAGCTGGCCTTACGTGTGCCATTTGGCTAGAGATACCTCCTCCATGTGAAGGTTAACCTCAGTAACCCTAGTCAAATGATCAGCCCTGATTTTAGCAATTTTAGCCACCCCAAGATGTGCTGCTGGGGACATCTTGCAGGGATCTTATCACCAATCTCACAGCATGCTTGGGGCTTGAGTAGTTTGGAGAAAAAGCCAGACAGACTGGCTCCTGCCCTCCAGAAGCTCACATTCTTCTGGTTGGACACTCCAACCTCATATTAGTTTAGGGTCCCATCTCCAAAAGTTTTTGTCCACTTCTGGTCATTTTAACACCAACCCATCTTTCTCATATGCACCCTTCATCAGGTTCATATCCTATTTCTATCAGTGTCCCAACCCCCTTCCAATGATAAAAGTCTTAATTAAATCTGGGTATTTCCAGACCCACCCTATTTACCTCCCTTTCCCCCCTCTACTCCCAAATAATCAGGCCACAAGCATTTTCAAGTATCTGTCTCTTCCTTTCGCTCTCTCAAAAAAAAAATAAATTGCAGAAGGCGGCAGCATATCTAATCTCCCCCAGTTCCCCAAGGCCCACCCCCCCTTTCCCTCTCCCCACCCCCTCCCATATTCCCTACTCCCCAGACCCTGTCCCTCCCCCTTCCCCAAAAAATCCCAGAAAAAAAGCCACAGTTAGACCTTCCACTCATGCAAACCAGCAAGAAAAAGGGGGAAATTCATGGGGAAGGTGGGGGGGGTCTGTGTGACTGCCCCCAACACCCTTCCCAAAAAAATAAACCACCTTTGAGAAGAAAAAAATGGAGAACAGAAAAAAGAAACTTGAGAGAAATCAAGGGGATGTGGGAAGTTGGGATGTCGGTGAGCTCAAGCCTCTCCCTCAGCTGAGAAGGCCGAGCCCAGTGACCCCTCAGGCCCCAAGCCTGGGTTGCTCCAGCAAGTGCGAGTCCCCTTGCATTCTGGAATGTGAAGGGGTGAAGAAGCAGGAAGGGATGGCTGAGGTGTCCCAGGTCCTGGAGGTGTTGGGGGGGTGAGGGGAGAGGAATATTTAGGAGAGAGGTTCCTGGATCAAGAATCCAAGTGTCCAGCTCCCCTAGCTTCTCTGTGCTCCTGGGACCCAGGCATCCAGCTCAGGGGGGCGGGGCACATGCAGAGAAGTCCCCCCCATCTGGGTTGGGTCACAAAGGAAATAAATAAGAGGAGAAGGGCTTGGACAGGTGAGTCCAGGCTGAGGGGCCTTGGAGGGCAGGTGAGTCCAGGCTGCAGTGGTAGACAAGGGATCAGAGTCTCTCTCGGGCTGGGACCCAAATATATGGCCCTGATAGCTCCTCAATGATACGTTTTACTTTGTGGTATATCTCCTCAAAGGTTTCACCCTCCACAATGGCTGTAAGGGTGAAAAGAAAGGAAAAAGATAAGGACTGTTATTGGTTTCTCAGTGTCTCCAGCTCTCCCCCAGAAATTCCCAATCTCTTTCTTCCCATTCCCCCACATACCTGAGAAACACTCTGTGAATTCCTGCTCCAGCTTGGTGGCTCTGTCAAAGGCTTTGCGGGCCTGATCTTCTGTTATCCGTTTGTTAATTTCTCTAGGGAGAGAAGATGGGCAAGACAAATGAGACAGTATGGTCCCAGCCCTCTCTTATTCCATTCCCTCTCAATGCCACGAGCATAAATCAGTGGGTAAGAAGCTAAGGTGCTTTTGGAATGTGTTTGGGGGAGAGAGGGATAGCTGTGAACAAAAGCTTACAATCTCAGCAGCCCTTGGAGCCCGGGCCCCTACATCTAAGGAACACCCTCCAAAAAACCCAACCAAACAAAAATCTCTGGTGCCAGTCCCCACTGTGGGAGTTATAATCCCAGAAGCACTTGGGTCCAGGCTCCCCTAACCTGAAACTGCTGCCAGAAGTTGTCATCTCAACTCCCTCAATTTAAAAAAAAAAACAAAAACTTATTCTGGACCTGTGATTTCATCAGTATGGGGAACTCCCAGTGTGGAAATTCCCTTGGCTGGGGCAGATCAACAATTTAACTGTAACTTGTAGCCTCAGTGACTTGTTTCAGGTTACACACAGTCTGTGTGCCCAGGTCTTCATGACTCCAAGGTCCACTACCACCTATTGTGCCAGACACTTCTCTGACGCCCTGTACAGGTTAACAAAACTGTACAGGAGGTGACAAGGGGGTTACAGACAGGACTATAACTATAACTCCCAGCAGCATTTGGAACCCTGTTCTGCCCATCCTTGGGGCTATCCTTCAGGCTGCTAGAACTGAGGTCCAGGAGGGCTAAAAAAGGAATTTCATGGAATTGAGTGAGATGGGGGAAGGGTCCACAGTCCTATCCCCTCAGTGACAACACTGATCCTCAGAAAAAGCTCCCTGGAAACTTGACATTGACTTGAATCATCTTGCCACTACTTGGTGTGCCTTTGTGTCTGCGTGATGGGATATTGTGGTAGGAACCAGGAAGTACAAGGAGTTGGTGATGAGGCACGTGGGGAGGCCCTGATTCACACACCCCTCCCCCATCTTGTCCCCTGGAGGCTTGGACAGTACTCACAGGATGTTCTCCAGGGATCGAGGTCTGATGAAGATGGCAATAGGGTGCAGGTGGGCCGCCTGCAGCCGCCGCACGGCATTGGCCGAGACGTCAAGGATACAGTGCTTTCCCGGGGGGGCAGCAGGGGAGGGGGAAGGACAGGAGGGTGCATAGGTGGGGACAGAGAGAGTAGGGAAGGAAAAGACAGATGGAAGCACCCAAGTACAGAGGGGGAGAGAGCATGGAAGGAGAAGAAAGACAAGTGGATAAAGAGAAAGTTTGGAGGAGTAAAGACAAAGGGAAGAAAGAACAGAAAAAGTATATAGAGAAATACAGCAGTTAGAGGACAGATAATGATAGATTAAATTACAGAGAATAAAGAGAGGAGGAGAAAAGGAAAGAGTACAAACAGATGAAGCAAGGAAGAAGAGAAGGAAACAAAGACAGAGGGAACAGGAGAAGAATGGAGAAAGCAGACAGAATGACAAAGAGAAAGAGGGAAGGACAGATGGACAGGGCCAGGGAGCAAGAGGGTGGGAGGAAGATGAGGGAACAGAAATGAGAGGAAGGAGATAGAACAGATGAATGGACAGAACAGGTACGCAGGCAAAGTGAAGGGGAAGGGGACAAAGAAGAGGGAGAATAGACAGAGGACAGACAGATGGAGAAACAAGGAGAGACAGACGGCAAAGGAGGGAGGCAGATGGGGAAAGGAGGAGCAGAGAAGGGAGAGAGGAGGAAGGGGAACAGGAGGGCAGATGGGGGAGGGAAGAACCATGGACAGGTAGCCACACAATGCCAAAAGGAGAGAGAGAAGGCAAAGGTAACAGAGAGAGGAAGTAAAAGAATGGATATGGGTTATGCAAACACACAGAAAAAAAGAGGCAGAGACCCCAAAAGTGTAGAGAAGGAAAGGCAAAGGAAAAAACAGAGAGAAATTGAGAGGGAGAAAGGCCAGCCGGTCAGAGAGAAGGAGGGCAGATGTAGGAGAGAGTTAGGTTGGAAAGCCAGGAATGGGAGGAAACAAAGCAGAGACCAGCCAGACGGAGAAAAGAAATAGGGCACAAAGAAAGGAGGAGGGGTAAGGGGGAGATATAGAAAGAAAAGCAGGCAAAAACATACCAAAGGAGTTGGGGGACAGCAGGAGATGAGGGAGCACAGCAGGTGGGGGTGGGATGAGACAGAGGAGCAGGATACGGAGTCAAGACCCAGCAGGGGAAAGAGACAGAAAGAGAAAAGTTAGAGCGAGAGAGCTAGAGGAAGGCGAGGGGCTGGGGGAAGCATGGGGTGGAAAAGGGACACTTGTGGAGCCCAGGCCCCAGGGCGGTACCTGTTCAGCCACCTCTCGTACAGACTGGACGCTGGTCCCATAGAGGTGGCTGTTGTACTGGCCGGCCTCAATGAACTTGTGAGCCTGGATGTCCTTCTCCATTTTCTCTCTCGATGACACAAAGTGGTAATCCCGACCATCCACCTCGTACTCCCGCTTTGGCCGCGTTGTATCTGCCAGGAAGGCCCCCACCCCAACCTGAAATCTAGTCACCATCCCTCCCACTGCATGTCCTGCCTTCGTGGAACTGAAGAACCCAAACCCTCTGTGGCCTGAGCGTGCAAGCCAGCTCTGCTGAGATGGGGTGACAGTAGGGAGGGTAGGGGCTTGAGAGATAACTATAACTCAGCACTTCTTGGGGCAACCAACTCGCTGGCTTGAGAATGCTGCTACTATTCAAGGGTTTGGGGGAATGTGGTCTCCAGCTATCCCTCACCTTCCTGGTCCCTAGCTACCAGGTGATTATGAACTATATATAACCTTTGGGGCAACCTGTTCCTTGGGCAAAGGATTATGTGGCATACTAGCTCATTTGGAAAGGAAATCTTTGAAGGCTATACCATACTGCCTCCCCTCTTCCAACATCCCCAAACCAGTCACTCACGGGGAACACAGGATCCAAATTTGTCAGGGAACTCGGAGAGGAGGTCGTCATTGGCCCTGTCCTTGGTTGGGCCAAGAATGATAATAGGGCGAGCATAGTGCACTGAGGAAGGAGACAGTGGAGTCAGAGTTAAAAGAGATCTTCCCCTTAGGGGAAGGGGACAGAATCAGGACAATGGGTGAAAAGAAGAGCTGTTGGGATGGGAGGCTGAAGATAGGCCAGAGGAAGAACATCCAAAGGGACTGTGTATGGGACAGAATACAGGCAGGGATGGAGTTTCACCTTCCATCTGTGTCACTGTCTCATAGCTCAGCACTGTGTCTTCACGACCTAAAAAAGGGAAATAAGTCTGTGATATAACCTTCCCAACTCTTCATCATCCCCATCCCACCTCCACTGCAACCCCTGACTTCATGTAAGCCCATCCTTTAAAACATACACACCTTGAGATCCTGAGCTAGAACCCCAGTCCTAAGAAAGAAATGGGAGAGAGGTCACTGGGTTCCTTCCCCTTAGCTCCTCCACTCCCCAAAGGTTTTACTTCCTTAAACTTTCCACTTCTCACAGGCTCAGCATCCCCTGTCCTTTCTCTGAGCTCACCTTGGCCTTTAACCTTGACCATTCCCGGCGCTCGACCCTGTGGGGCATAATGGCAGTTAAAGGAATATGTAAGTACTTTAATACCTCCCTTCAAATAAGTCCCCAGACCTCTGACCTCCAGAATTAGGGAACTGTCCCCTTTTCTCTAGGCTTCCAAAAGTCCTAGGAAGACTGAATAGATTGAAAATGGGCCCTTCTGGCTCCTACCCTCTTGACCTTCAGGCCCCTATGTACTGCAACATCCAGCAATCCCTGAGGCCTATATAGGCTTTTCTGAATGATAAGCTGCCTGCCTTTAAGACTCATGGATGTTATGGTCCCACAGAGGAGCCTGGATGAATTCAACTTTCAAGAGTTCAAAGGTTATAACCTCCTTTACTAATGAACCACACATTCTATACTCCCTACAGGCTGAGCTGCATTCTTACTGAGCTGCATTCTTAGATGTGCTGAGGTCAGCTGAGTACCTCCACTCACCTCCGTTTACTAGGGATGAAGCCAATGTCATCGGTCTCACCATCTGGCTGGACACGTCGTGCCTGCCACCATTCTTCATCACCAGCATCGATCACATGCAATACATCCCCAAAACGGAAACTAAGGGCCTGGCTCAGAAAGCCACAGTCCTTGGTTTTGTCATAGTCAAACAGGGCCCTGTTTGGGTTTGGAGAAGTTTGGAAGAGAGGTCATGGTCTCACCACATACCTACCAACCCTACACCCTGAAAAATAAGCACAGAGTCTAGCATGATACAGGTAAATCAGCAGATTACGGGAAGAAGGGCAACAACAACAGCAACAATTATAACCGGTAATACTTATATTAGTGTTTTAAGGTTTGCAAAACTCTTTACATATATTATCTCATTTGATTCTCAGGGCAGCCCCATGAAACCCTTTATTATTATCATCCCCATTTTACAGATGAGGAAACTGAGACTGAGTAGAGTTGCCTGATGAGTAAATAGCTAAGGCAGGATTTGAACTCAGCTCTTCCTAAATAAAAGTCTGGCATCCTATCCACCATGCCACCTAGCTTCTACTCAACCTGCAAATGTTTGGATAGACAGGTAGATGACCATAAGGAGAGACGGTTGGGGGTGGTTATTGGAAGCAATGGTGTCAGGGTGGGAGAACAAGGGCAATGTGAGAGAGTGGTAAGATGAGGAAGACCCACTTCCTCAGGAAGTGACCAGGATGTGGGGAGCAGGAAGAGTGGTCAGGGGAATAAGAGGGATTTAAATTTGTGAGTGAAGGCACAGGCAAATCAATTACAGAAGAAGAAAAGAAGGATGAGTAACTAGAAAGAGAAAATGGAACCTGGGCTATGATCTGGTATCAGAGCACAGGTGATTGGGACAGGAAGGCAGATGGAAAGGCAATGTGGAGGAATGGAAAGAAGGTACAGCTGCATGACCTTGGGCAAGTCATGTCATCTTTTGGGGTCTTGGTTTCTTCATCTACAAAATGGAGATAATAACTTCTCTACTACCTAGCTCACAGGATTGTTATGAGAACTCAACGAAATGACCCGTTTTAAAGTGCTTTGAAAACTGCAAAGCACTGTACAGATATGGAGAAGACACAGGCAGCCTTGCATGGTGGAAAAAGAAGCCAGATCATCTCAGCTATTCCAGCTCTGATGCTTCCCTGATGAGGGGCCAGCTAGCCAGTCATTCTGTGCCTCTGGTCAGAAGGTTTCCTTTCCCTGGAATGCCACCCTTGAAAGCCCAGCCCTTAAGGAAAATGAAAGCCAATGAAGTGCTTACTGTTGCATGGAGATGGAGGTATGAGGAATTGTGAAAACAGAGGGATAAGAAGATAGCTAGGGCATGGGAAACAATGATACGAAGTTATGGTGGATGAAAAGGAGTGGAGAGAGGGGAATGTAGATGAAAGAAAGGGACTGAACTCTAACCTGATATAAAAGCCTCGTTTGGGGTTACTCCGAAGAGAGGCAGTCCCAGAACCCAAGCTGCTGTTCATTAGTTGTTCCCGCAAGTCATGGATTTTGGCCTCAAATCGACTGTATTCTGAGAAAAAAAGGAGAATCCTCTCCATCACAAGCTGAGGCCCCTATAGCCCCATCCAAAGATAGTCACCCACATATACACCTCCCAATCCACCCCAACTCTTGTTTTCTGTTCCTTTCACTGGCAGCTATGACCTGAGTCACCTCCTTAGCTCTGCCTCACTCCCGCACAATTACCTTCTGGTTTGTACTGAGCGATAATAGTGACAGTCTGGCCAGCATTCTTCAGTGCGATGGCAGCTTGTTCATGGGTAGCATTTCGAAGATCCACACCATTGACCTGAGGAGAGAGAGGGGTTTGACGGAGGTCACCCGGTTCTAACTAGGTCATATTGCTGGAAAGACTCCTATGGACCTCAGAGTTTGGCCTGAGGGATAGGGCTGGACTTCGAGTCTCCATTACCAGGGGACCCTGGTGTCAAATTGAGATGGAAGGCAGGGTCTTATATATCTGCTACAGAGTCTGCAAGGATGATTAGGTTACAGGATTCATGGGATCCCAAAGCACTTCCTCCTTAACAGCACAGCTGGGGGTCAGGAGCTTCATGGGATGGGGGAGCTGATGTTCTCACCGAGAGAATTTGGTCCCCCTTGCGTAGCTCTCCACTGAGGTCAGCTGGACCCCCGGCAAGAATGAAGGAGATGAAGATGCCTTCACCATCTTCACCTCCCACGATGTTGAACCCTAAGCCTGTGGAGCCCCGATGGATCACAATCCGGCGTGGCTCCCTGTGGGGATGGAGGGTACAGGGGTCACCACTACACAACCTAGTCATCTCCTAGGATCTCTCAATCTTTAGTGCCCATCTGAATTCCCTGATCCTCTAGGAATTCAGGATTCTGGCCCCAAGACCCTTCCTCTTTTCTCCCCACCTCCCAACTTCAGTTTCACTCAGGGTTCCAGGTATCTGGTCTTTCCCCACCTAGGAATATCCTCCTCTCCCAGCAGCTCTTTGGCCACCGGGGAGTATCGACGGGGGGAGGTGGGTGTCATGGCTGGTGGATAATCAGTACCCAGGTAGCTACTGTGGCTGATCTCATTGTCCAAGTGCTGGGAGTAGGCTGGGGAGAGACATAGAAGTGAGGACTGGCAGGTGTTTCAGGGAAAGGAAGCCCTCCCCCCACCCTACCTCACTGCCCTGGGAAGCCTCCTGGTATTCAGACTATAGATTTTGAGGGGGAGTTTTACAAGCTGTGTTATCAAGGGCCTTGGAGAGGGAGAGCTCCTCATAAAGGGTGATGTCAAGGGAATTGAAAAGGGTGCATTCACAGGCAGTCATGTTGGGCTGCTTCCCAGGAAATGACGTCAGGGTCTGGAAGATTCGTACAAGTAAAAGCAGGTATCTTAGGGATTCTCACAGGGACAGAGAGCAGAGAGTTGGGGAGCAGTTCACAGACTGTGATGTTGGGATATAGAGGAAACTCTCATAAGGGGTGATGTCAGGGGTTGGGGGGGGCTCTCACAAGTGGTAATGTCAGGTGGGGCATAGCTATCACTCAGATAGGTGTTGCTAGGCTTGGCCACTTTCAAGTAGACAACATCATATGTGTTCTTCAGGGCAGCCACTGCATCTTCATGCATCACATCCTCCAGCCCTACACTGTTCACCTAGAAATGGGAGAACAAAGGGAGGAACAGGATCAGAGGGTACCAGGCAGTAAGCTGGGGAGCCAGGGAGGCCTGTCTGATCAAAGTCAGCGTTGTGGGTTCTACAGGAAAGGGGAACTCACAGCGAGGATCTTGTCCCCAATCTGTAGACGTCCATCTTTGTGAGCAGCCCCGCCCTCAATGATCTTTGTTACATAGATGCTATTATCTCCTGGGATGTGCTGGTTCCCCACGCCACCTGCAATGCTGAAGCCGAGCCCTGGAGAGGAAGGGGAAGAGAGCCAGGAGCTGCAACTGAAAGAGCAGGCAAAGGAGGGAGAGCCACAGCATATGAGAGAACCTGGGGGCCTGGATCCTTGAAAAGAGGCAGAGCTAAGTCAATGGTTACCTTTAGGTCCCTTGATGAGCTTGATCTCCATGAGCTTCTCGGCAGGAGGCTTCCGACGCATGACGTAGAGACGAACAATTGAACCTGCTTCCTTCAGGGCTTCCACAGCAGCCGAGTGTGTCACCTCCCTTACATCCACCTCATTGACAAACAGGATGCTGTCATTGACCCTAAGGGGACAGCAAAGCAGGGATCTTCACCTTTGATTTCCCCCCTCCCACCAGTTCCCCTAATTCTCCTTAGGGACTCAAGCATTAGGATTTGTGATTCTCCCTCCCATTCCTCCCAGCTATATTGTTCCTCTCAGGGCTTAGTTCCCCAGCCCCCAGCCCCCTCTCCCTCAGGGACCCAGGTATCCAGGCCCCCACACCTGAGTCGGCCATCCTGTGCTGCAGCCCCCCCCAGGAATGATCTTGGTGATGAAAATGGATGGGTCATCGCCAACGTGTGGGTTGTCGGTGCCACCTGCGATGCTGAAGCCCAGGCCTGAGTTACCCTGGGTGAAGGGGAGTGGGGGAGAAAGAATCAGCAGCTCCTACCTCTGCCTTGTTTCCACTGGTAGAGTCCTCTCCATAAAATCAACAGGAATAAAGACATAGGGGCAAAAGGAGGAAGGGTGGCTGGAGCAAAGGGGTTGGGGAAGAGAGAAGGAATAAGAGCTAGGAGGTGAGGGGCTGTTAGCAGATAAGGGAAATGGAAGTTAGAGAATTAGAGGGCTGAAATAGTGAAATCAGAGAAAGAAGCAAAGATAGGGCCTGAAAAGCATGAAGAAGATGGGAGCTAGAGAGAATAGGGGGCACTTACTCACCCGTTCCAGTGTGATCTCCTCATACTCCATCTCCCCTTCTGTTCCGTTCACCTGCAGCTCCAACACAGGCCAGAAACACAAACACAGTGAGATGGATATTCCTATCTTAGCAACCTGCGACCCTACTTCTTCTTTCCCTCTCCACTTGTACCTCATCATTTGGTTTTCTCTACTCCCTAGTTCTCCTCTCTACCTATCTACCTAACCCTCCCTAGGTCCCCGTCCCCCAAATCTGACCAACTCACATATCCAGGGGCTTCAAGAGTATCTGTATTCACAATCACGGGGGGAGAGTTGGCCTGTGGTAAGGAGACAAGAAAATACTATAAGCCTTGACCCCAGAGAAAGCTTGTGCTGGGGTAGAGGGGAGGGTCCCCACTAGCCCAGCTCCTCTTCCAGTTTCCACAGCCTCAGATCTGCTCATTGGCCCAGGGATTTTTCCCTCCATTGGCGTCTAAGCTCTCATTTCCCCACTTCCCTCAGGGAACCCCCAAGAACTGTCCATCTGGATGACAGTTCTTGAATGTCTAAAAATTCTGAAAAGAGATAGGGAGATTAGAGGGTCTCAAGGGAGTCTTGGTTCTCTCACTCCAACACGTAAGGTAGTTTATGCACCTGTGTGTGTGCACCTATATATGTGCACGTTGTTTGTGTATGGCTGCTGGCTGGTGAAGGGAGACTGTGTATCTATGAGAAGTAGCTTTTAAAGGAGAGAAAAAGGGAGGGGGAAAGCCTTACAAGAAGAACAAACGATGAAGGGAAAGGTTGAACAAGCATGGGGTGACAGGAGAGAGTTTCTCACTGCATATAATATGACTTACACATGCTACACACATACATATACAACCAGGGCCTCAGGGACAAGGCATTACCTACATTGTCCCCTTCCCTACTATCTTTCAGGAATCTCCCAAGGATTTCCAGGCGTCTTCCCCTGAATTCTCAATTCTTCCAAATCTCTTTCCCTTAGTCACACCACCTCCCTTCAGGGCCCCAGGGTCACTCCTTCCCTCTACTGCTTAGCAGTACTATATCACTAATTGCTATCAAAGCAATAAGCAGGAGAGGGGGACAAACAACCAGTCTCAAAGAATGTTCCTTTGAGAGCCCTCTTCCTTCCACAGCTCTACCTCTCATTACCAGGATCTAAAATAATACATCTTGAATCTTCTTCAGTCCCTTCTTCACTCTTGCCCTCCTCCCCATCTCTCCCCCTCCTCCTCCCCAGCTCCTATGGAAAAGGGAGGATGGTAAAAGACATTCTAGTCCCTGCTCAGACGATTTCTCCTCACTCCATCAAGGAAAGAGTTAACACGTGAGGAAGGTGGGGCCAAATTTCTTCCTAATGTCACTCTTCACCAAGGTAAGGCCTGGGGCTGTCAAGGGGATAGTGGGGCCTGTACCCACAACTGAGAGGAAGGAGGTAAGAAGACTGAGAGTGCTCCCTCTGTTGTCCTCAGACTGTTCTTTGACCAAACCCTAATGCACATCTCCTGGATCTCCCCAAGCTGGCTCTTACCCCCTTTATTGTCAAGTCTTTATGACCTCTATCTGATTCCCATCTACAGGGTTCCCCCCATCACTACTTCCTATGGTCCACCATTCATCCCCATTCCCCATCTCCATCCATTATCCCCATGTTCTCATCATTCATTTACATCCCCATCCTCCATCCTCTATATCCTCCATCTCCCATTCATTTCCCAACTCATAGCTCTATCCCACATTTCATACCCCTCTCATCCCACATCTTATACCCTCTACTCCTAACCTCTTATCTCATAATCCTTACTCTCTATTCCTCATTTCTTATTCCATTTTCCTATCATCTGCCCCAAATCTCTTTCTAATCCCCAATACAAACACATCCATCTTCCTACCTTTTTCTAAACTCTCCCTCTCATCCGCCTCTAGTTCTCCAGGCCACTGGCTCCTTTATTTTAAATCCCTATTTTTCCCTCTGCCCCATCTTTTGCTCTCCTAACCCTTGAATCTCCTATATACTTGTGTCCTAATATGATTGTTCCTTATCCATCCCCATGTCCTGTTTTCCCAAACCTTTACTGTACCTCTTTTCCTATCACCTAACCTGCACTCCCAACCCCTACTTCCCTTTAACTCTTTAATCTTTTACATACTCCTTCCAATATAATTCCTTCTCAGTTACCTAACTGGCTCCATTCAGCCAAGCACCCTCATTTTATTTTCCATTTTATTTTCTATATTAACTTCTGGCCAGACCCACAGAGTACCTCCTTTCATAACTATTAAGTGAAAGAAGAGGGGTAACATGTAGCATCTCATCTCCCAGCTAAATCCTTTCCATTTCCTTCTACCAGCTCCCATTCCTAATCCTAGCTATTCTCAACAGAAGCAAATTTTTCAATTACCTCAACCTCATTCTTCTCATAGCATCCCAATTTTCTTTTCTGAGTCTTTGTCTTCCATACAAATCTTGTCTCTGACATCCCAATACCAAAGACCCAAAACTCTATACCTCTAACAACTCCCTGTCTTCCTGACCCTTGCCACTTTCTGCCCCTCACCACTCTAGATAGCAACGTGGTATACTGGGTAGAATGCTGGTCTTACAGTCGGGCAGATCTAAGTTCAAATCCTGACTAAGATTTGAATTTACTAGCTGTGTGACCTTGGGCAAGTCACTTAACCTCAGTTTCCTTATCTGTAAAGTGGGGGGGGGTGTTTGAACTTGATGGCCTCTAGGGCTCCTTCCATGTCTATGTTCCTATGATGATCTCTTACCTCTATCTCCCTGGGATTAGTCTCATCCAATTATCCTTTCTCCAGGTTCCCCTATTTCAGCTTCAGCTCCCTCCTTGAATGGTGTTTAGCAGTAGATAGATAGAGCACTAGCCCTGGAGTCAGGAGGACCTGAGTTCAAATCTGGCCTCAGACACTGAACATTTAACTAGCTGTGTGACCCTGGGCAAGTCACTTAACCCTGACTGCCTGGGGGGGGGTGGTGGTGGAAGAAATCCCCTTTCCATAAACTTAGCATACCACCATCCTCCTCCCAGTCCCCAGTACCTTCTTTCTTCTAACAACCAACCCACTGGAATGCATTAACATGAACTTTCAATCACCCACTACTCCTAGTCTGTATCATCCGAGATGACATAGGCAGATAGAGCAAGGGAGAGGTGACGGAGAAACTGGGGGTATGTGGTATGAGATAAGAGTTCCTGTGAAACAGACACACAGTACCCTTTCACCAGGTTAGGGGGTAGAGCCCAGTAATTATGAGAGATTCCTTCCTCCTTGAGACAAACATATCAATAGATAGAAAAGGTAGAAGGCAGTAGCGCTGTTTGGATCCTACTACTCCCACCTCCAGTACTCCCAGCCTGACTAATGCAAGGTATGGGGGTCCAGGGGAGTTGGAGCCTGGAGACACAATCTGAGAATCTGGGAAATGTAGATCACCAAAGGGTGAGAAACTTTGTGGGAGGGAGAGGGAAAGATAGCAGCAGGTACCTAGGAGGGGTGTGAGTAAGGGAGAGCATGAATGGAGGAAAAACAAGGCAGGAAGTTTGGGTAGAAGAGGAAGAAAGAGACAGAGACAAAAAAGGGTAACAAAACTGAGACAATGACAGAAAGAGACAAAAACAGGCTAAAAAGTGAGTGAGAGAGAGAGAGACACTAAGACAGGATATGGAAGAGAGACAGGGATAGAGATACATTAAGACAAGGAACACAGTTTAAAAAAAAAGCATAGGGAAGGAAGAGGGAAGAAAGAAAGGAAGAAAGGAAGAAAAGGCTCTGCCAAACTGAAATGGAGTTGATGAAGCATTAATGGAGGCATTAATAAATGATAAAGAGCCTGTGCTGCCTCTATGTGTGTTGGTGGGGGTTGTAGCAGGGGAAGAACTAATGTAAAGAGACACCTCTTCTACCTCACTTGTGAGGGTTCTCCCCTTTTGGAGGACCAGGAACCCTAACTTCCATTTCCCTTCCTTCTTTAGGTCCAGAATTTGCTGCTCTCCCCATGACCCAGGAAGCCGCCTCTCCCATCCCCTGACCCCCACCCTGGTTTTCTTCCCCCGTACCGGCCCTTGGGGGGTGGCAGCGGCTCCAAAGCTCCAAGGGACGGGGGAGGGGGTCACCTGGGTCTCCTACCTTGAGCGGGGAGAGGTGGGCGTGGCCCACGACCCCACTGACGGCCTCGAGATGGGACAAGTTCCTCTCCGACACGTGCACCAGCTCGGGGGCGTTTACCTGGTTGGGAAGGTGGGCCGGGCTGTGTTCCAGAGGGGGCGTGTCTTCATCTTGATAGCGGTATTTCTGGGAATGAAGGCGAGGGAAGGAGAAGGTATCAGGGCAGCTCCAGGTACCAGGGTTCCCCTAGTCTTTCCTCGTCCCACCCCCTCCTGCTTGCCTCCCTTCCCCCAGATCCAATTCTTCCTAGACAGCCCAGCCATCTGCAATCTTTCACACCCCAGACCCTCCTCTCAGCATCCTCCCTCAAACATTTAGTCACCTTTCCCTCTGTTCCCAACCCACACAATTCTCCCTGTCCCTCGAAATTTCCAGCTCCATTGTCCACTTCTCCGAACTATTTTTCCACCTCCCCAGGTACTTCTTTCCAAACTGTTTGTTCTCCCACAGCACATACTTTGTCCCTTCCCCCCATTTTGTCACCCTTCCCTTCATTTGACAGTTTCCAATCCTCTCTGTGCCAAGTCACCCCTTTATCGGTCCTCAGTGTCCCACCTTCAGTTTCCCATCTTCTCAGTTCCCAATTGTCCTATCTTTAATACCGCCATCCCTTAAATCCTGTTTCCTGTTCTCTCAGTTCTTAGTTTTCCAGTCCTTCAATCCCTCATCCCCAGTTCCCATTCCCTCTATTCTTATTCCTCTATTTCCTCAGTCCTTACAGTTTTCTCATTTCTTCAGTTTTCAGGCTCCTCATCTCAATATTCAATTTACTACCCCCTCAGTCTCCAGTTTCCCATTCTTTCAGTCTTTTATCACTTTACTATGTGCCTAGTACACAATAGGCACTTAAATGTTTACTGAATTGAATTCTGTTTTTCATCTCCTCAGTAACTCTTTAATTCTCCAACTACTGCTTAGGGCTGGTCCCTACTCCCTCAATCCTTATAGTCTCCTTGTCTCCAGCTCTCAGATTTTCCTCGTTCCAAGTCTCCCACTCCCTAAGTCCTGTTTTCAGTCTTCAGTCCCTCAATCTTTCAGGCATTCAACCCCCTTATTCTTTTTTTTTAGGCAAATGGGGTTAAGTGACTTGCCCAGGGTCATTCAGCTAGTGTCAAGTGTTTGGTCTGAGGCCAGATTTGAACTCAGGTCCTCCTGACTTCAGTGCTGGTGCTCTATCCAGTGAACCACCTAGCTGCCCCCTCAACCCTCTTATTCTAAACTCATTTCACCAGCCTCTCAGTCCTCAATCCCCATCTTCTCAGTTCTCAGTCCCCCCCTTTCCAACTCAGTCTTCAATCTTGCCCCTATGCTGAGTTCTCAGCTCCTATCCCCTAATTATACTTTCTGTCATTCATGCTGAAGTCCCATCTTGCAGGCACTTAATGTTTATTGATTATCACCTAATCCCATCCTCCTTCTTTGCCCCTAATACTCCAGTTTCTCCAGCCCTTGTTCACTGACACAAATCTCTCCTCTCTGCCTCCATCTCCTCCAGCTCAAAAAGCTTCTACATTATCACATTCTACATTATTCTATATTATTATTCTACATTAACACTAACACTTCCTTGCCCACTTTGCTAGGAGAGGGAGTTAGCCATTCATATCTTCAAGACACGCAGGATCCCAGGCAGGAAGTATCTAATAGTACTCCCAACCAGCATAACTTCTACTCTCCAGTTGCAAAGGTCGTGGATTCAGACCCAGGCATTAAAACTCTGCCCCCCCCCCCACATACTCACTGTTCCTCTCCACCCCCACCCCCAACCTCAGTTGTGGGATCAACTAATCCTGATATTCCTGGGTGAGGGTTAAGAGAAAGATGGCAATAGAGAACGGGGAACATAGACCCTTGTCTACTGAATGGGATGGGGATAGGACAATTGGACTGAGCTTAGGCCACTGATGGGGCTAGGAGAGTTAAAGTTGGGAAAAGGGTTGAACAGGGCCTTTGAGAGGAATCAGCTTCCCCTCATCAACTCCTGATTCTTTCTCCATTGTCTCTAGTTTAAAGAGGGATACCAAATTAACTGGAAGTAGTGACAGGGGAAGGGAAGGAGTATCTTCTAGGTAAAGGGAGAAGGAAAAATGGAGATAAGTATGTATGTGTAGGGAGAATATATTTGTTCTCTTTCTTCTGTCCCAGCTCTGCCCTCCTCCACTGTTCTTCCTTTCTATTCTATTCTTCCTGTCCCTCACTGTAGTTCCCAGTGTCTGATTCTACTCAAAAAGGTAGTGCAAGGTTCTATCTGGTCCTCCCTAATTCTGAGGCATCCTACCTCTGGGCATCCAATAATATGTGAATTGGGCAGATCTGGTAATGAATGATTTCACTGGACTAGACTAATTCCCCTTCCTAAGAAGCAGCCTCCCCAAACTCTTTAGGTGTTCTTTGATTCCAAAGCAAACCCTGGGGCTTAGGTTCTTCAGTAAATCAGAGGGTAAGTGTGTTTGGAGGACCAGGCAACCTCCTCCTGGGAAAAGGTTTCAGGAAACAATATAGAAAAGCTGAATCTCAATAAAGTTTAGGATATGTTAAAAGAGAAGTATCTCATGATTTTTTAGGGTATAACTAGAGAATAAGGAAGCTAAAGTCTCCTTACTCAGGCAGTTTCAATATACTGAGATATGCTTTTGAGAATTTTAGGGAGTGCTACGGTTGAGCACCAAATCTGGGGATATGCCATGAAGGTAATGCAAAGAACAAGAGAGGGGAGCCACCCTTATGATAAATTAGACATAGGCAGCATTCCAATAATTTTGGGAAATCTTGCAGAAAAGCTCTGATCATAAAAGCTCAGGACAGTCTGAACCACAGACTGAGACTTAGGAGGGGTATTCAACTCCAAGAAAATACCCAAGCTCAAGTTCCACATACCAAAAATCTTGAGGTAAGTAAATGGAAAAATGTGGGTAACAAATCTCTCAAATCATCTTAAGAATATTCTTTCCAAGACTGAATTATTAATCTTAACTATCCCTAAAAGGGCTGGGTTTAATAATACTCCTCTCTCATGAATATATTTGGGGTACAGTTAGATACCATGAGAGAACAGAAAAAGGGAGGAAGCTTCATAGGACATTAAGATTTAATTCATCTCTCTTCATCATTAGGTGCTCCAAAAACAAAAGGATCTTAGTCTTAAATCTTATAATTTGGGTATGAGAACTATACCCCAAAGATGCCTTCTAAAACTGTGAGGACCAAGTGATGGGGGGAAGGGGTTAGAAACTTTTATCTCTGCAGTCCTCACCTCAACCCCAGGAATAGAACAGCCTGAGGGAAAGAAGCATCTAGGACTGGGGAATACACTACCCTTCAAGATGTCAACACTGGAGATAAATGGAGAATCGAGGTTGGTGACAACATTCAGTACCTTGAGAATTTGAGGATATAGGAGGCTAAGAAATGGGGGGGGCCAGGAAGAAAAAAAGGTCTGTTCATCTGAGGTGAAGAGAAGAGGAAGAGGAAGTCCATTCCTGAAGCCTCAGTGAAGTGCAGTGAATATGGGACTAGGATGGAAGCTTTTGTGCCCCCAATATCAGGAAACAGTTTAAAAAATGGACATTGCTCTCATTCCTCTGAAACTCGCCCTTACCAAGAAGGTGGAGAGAGCTGGCTTGAATCCCCAAATTATTGGAGGATAGAGGCAACAAAAGTGGGAGAAAAAACCCTGTTGCTCTTTTCTCTTTGAGACCCTTCACCCCTGAGTCCCTGCATATGAATCTAGGGCTACGGTTTGCACCCAAAAAATATAGATGCCAAGGAAGTAAAACAGGATGGGGGAGGGCAACTGCTCCAATCCCACTGGGGTTCACCATCTCTGAGGCCGAGGGCAGATGAAAGATGCTGGGGCAGATGTTCACACCCCCCTCCCCCATATTAGGCTCTAGATAAAACTGAAGAGAAAGTGAGAAGGGGGCTCTGTTGCTCACATCCCTTGGGACCCTCCTCCCCAGCCCCCAAGGCATGAAAGGGAAGCAAATGAGGGTAGAATCCCCAAGGAATCTCCACCCTCGGGACCCTATGCCCAGTAGAGGGGAAGGGATGCTCTTGAAGCTTGTACCCCGAGATTCGGAGGGGGTCGTGAAAATGGGAGGGGGGCCGGGAGCCCATACCCCGCCGCACGTACCACGCAGAGACACATGGAGGCGAATCTGTTCCGAGCCGACATGGAGGAGGGGAGGGGGATAGTGGGGGAAGGGAGAATGGAATATTAGGGGGTCCCAGGGTAGGGGGAGGGGCGGGGGCTGCGGCGCCGGCAACTGGAGGCTGCGGCCGGAGAGGAGGGGGGAGAGCAGCGCCTGCGCAGTGCGGGAGAGCGTCATGGGGGGGGAGGGAGAGGAGTGAGAAGAGACCCCCCCCGGAGCCAAGCGCTCCCCGCCCGCCCGCCGGCTGCGGGTTTCCTAGGCTGCTTCTTCCGCGGGGCGCCCCCATTCAACTCCGCCCCAAGTCCATACATCCTCAAAACTTGCCCCCGCAGTCCCTCTCCGGCCCGCTGCTTCTCCCCCCCATCCCCGAGCAGTCTCCAGAAACCTCCCTCCCGCGCACAGCTGGTCCATGGGTCCTGAACCAATCTCTCCGCGGCTTCGCATCACGGCTGAACCCCTAGTCCCACCACCAACTAGCTCCCCCCAGCCCAAAATAAGTTTTTCTGCCCAGGGAAACCTCAAATTGAGAGTGACCTCCAAACTGCCGAGAGGTGGCGTCAGTGGATGGCCAGTCCTGGCACATAGAGCTGTGTGACCCTGGGTAAGTCAAATCTCCTAGTGCCCTGGGCTACTGCCTCAAATTTACAATTGCGGAGCAGGTGCCGGGTCTGCAGGAGGGGTAGGGATGTCTCGTTCAGAAGTTCCCTACATCAATACAATGTGCCTCTTTCAGAAATTCCCTATATCAATGAAATCACAAGTCCAGTAGCAAGTCCTAATCCTTCCACGCTTAGCTTCCCTCAAAAAACTCCAGGTTTCTCAAGCCATCCATGCCCATCGAAACCCCATCAAATTTCCCTCAGCTTTCTTAGAACCTGAGTCTTCCCTCCCCAATATACCACAAAATTAGAATCACCTGTAGTATAATACCCATATAAATTACATTTTAATTTAATCAAGAACCTTTGTAAATCCCAAATTAAAGTCCCCCAGGTATTTGGGGTTCTCTATCTGAATTCTCTGAAATGTCTCATTTCCAACTTTCTAATACAAAATCACCTACTTTAACTCTGGGAACAAAGCAACCTATCATTAACTGCCCTAAAGAGACTTAACTCTTCTCTAATATAGGGGTACTTCCTCCTTTACAACTGGAATTCAGTTGCCCTATGACTCCATGACTCCCTCAAAACTGACCTTATACAATTCCCCTCCATATGTAGGGTAGTGTGGGAAAAGGTGATGTTATATTTGCCTCTGATTAGTTTCGACACTTTCCCATGATCTAGTTCCCTAAAAGGAAACATCCTTAAAGCCTCTCTACCTCCTCAAAAGTTAAGTAACAAAAACTACTGATCACATGCTCTCAAATCCCACAGAGGGACCACCACCTTCAGTGAATGCCTAAAATGAATTGTTGTCATTTCTCCAAACCTTTTTAAATTCCCAAAACTGTGATCAAATTCCAAGGGAGTTATTCAAAACAATTCCCATTGAACTCCCAGATTTTCCAGGTCCCCCAAATTCAGTTACCTTAAATTTGCTTTCTGGTTTAAAAAAATTGCTTTCTGGTACCTCTAGAATGTTTCAGAGCAGAGGCATTTGTCAAAATATAGTGCCGCCATATCAATTTTTTACTCACCACCATCTATATAGTTATCCACAGACCCCAAAATGACACCCAGGGCTCACACTATTCCTTAAGTTTCATATATTGATCCGTATGACTTTTTAAATCTAATAGATGCCCTTAAACTTCACTGATGCCCCAAAATCCAACTCAGGCAAAATGTGACACAGGAAAGGACACCCTAAAAGCACAGGGTCCTCTCCTGGATTTCTGGGGTGCTGCTCTATTTTGGACCTCCGCAAATAACCTTTCCTCACCCACCTTAAAAAATAAGCCACTAAATTCAAGGGAATATTCTGGCTTCCAGCTAATCTGCCCAAGACATACTATGCCCAGCCATACTCCCTATCTCTCACCCTTCCCCCTTGTTCAGCTTCCCTCGTGGACCAAAGTATCAACCCTGGTCCCAATTTCCTTCCTTCTCTGAAAGAGAAAAGCTTTTGAATAAGAGAAGGTATGAATCCCTGAAGTGGGTGGCTGCTGGGTGGAATCGGGATCTTTGGGTCCAAGATCTGGTGATGAAAGGGGCAGTGGGGAGAACAAACTTCTTAGTTCTCCAGCAGGGGGCGACATTCTTTTTAGCCTCCCACCCCACCCCCATTTCCTTTTTTCCCTCCATTTTCCGTTTCCTGTTGCCTAGCAACACAGCAATCAAGGACTTTGCCATTGCCTTGACAACCGTCTCCCAGGGACACGAGATAGGTGGGAGGGGTGTCTGATTCGATCTGAACAGACCTCCATCTTAGGTAGCCCAGGCGTGAGGACTCCCACTGCCAGATTCCCTCTCCCAAAGACCCTACTCCCCTCAGCGGCTCTGAAGCCCACCGCCTCCAAGCTTCTCTAATTCGGGCCCAGCCACGCCTTCTTCTGTGCCAACCCCGCCCCTTAGGCCGGTAACTCGGCCTCAATGCCCCGCCCACCATCCTCCATGAGGCCACGCCTCCCTCTCCATTCGCTCCCACGGCCTCAACCCCATTGTCCCCGGTTCCAGCCCGCCCCGCCCATCTCGGCCAATAAGCATGGGCTGGTGGCCGGTCCGACTCCGCCCCCGGCGTCCCCGTGTTGCCCAATTAGGACCGCCTGGAGGGTTTAACTACTTCGCGTCCGGGTCTCAGGCCAAAGTCAACCGCCCCCTCCCCCACGGCCCCGCCCCCGTGCTCGCACCCCCACCCTCCGTGGGCCCCGCCCGCCAGCCTGCCAAGCCGCTCTAGTCGTCGCCGGTTACCATGGCAACGGCGCCAGCGCAGGGAAATAGGAGGTGGAAGGGGGGAGGCAAGTGGGTTGGGGGCGGGGGCGGGAGAGACAGACAGACAGACTAGGAGATAGAAACCAGAGATAGAAACCGATGTCAGGGTAAATAGATTACGGGAAAGGGCCAGAGGTAAAGGCCTCAACAGGGCGAAGAACAAGTGCACACAATACCCGCCGAGGAGTGCTGGGACATAGCGTCCTCTGCTGGCCTCTCCCGTTCTACCCCTGAGCCGGCGGACTGAGGAGGACTACGACTCCCAACAGGTCCCAGGGCAACAGTTCTAGTGTACTTAGGGGCCTTCTACCCCAGGGACTCATGGGAGTTGGAGTCCCACCTTCACCAGCGCTTAAAAGTTTTCAAGGCAAAGAAATCTACAGTTTTCCCCCCGAGCCACCAATGTGTCAAGTCTTCGTTTCTCCTCCCTGTAGAGACCCTATGGCGCCGGGATCCTTAGCTTTTGGCTCAGTTTTAGATCAGAATAAAAAGAGGCTGTTTCTCTGGACTTAGTGAACATCTTACAAGCCCAGATTTCTTCCTCTTTATTCTCAACATGCCTATTTTCACATGCCCCTAGAAAGGTTTGTACCTAATACCTCAATATAGATCTTTCCTTTTGCATATATCTATACAAAACATCACTAGGAGAGGCATGGGGGGAGGGGAAGTGGAGGGGAAAAAAGAGAAGGAAGCATGTCCTCAAGTGTCCCTTATTTGCTCAGGCCTTTCCTTCCTGTCTCCCCAATGTGTTGGCCTTGGGGAAGGGCAGGGGGAGGAAAGGGGGAAGATTGAGAGATACAGAATGGAAAATACTGACAGGAAACATGAGAACAAGATGAGGGGAGGTGGGGAGTGGGACATGAAGGACATAAAACGTGGCTCAGAGACAGAAAAACAGTGGCAGAAAGACAGAAAAAAAAAAAGTGGCAGAAACAGGGAGACAATGAATTAGGGATAAAAGCCCCAGGGAAAGGCCCAAAAAACGTGTGTGGAAAAAGGCAAAGGTGTGAGGTGGCATAGCAGATGCTAAGACTAAAAGGCATCCAGGCTTAGTTTCCATGAATCTTGTGTCTAAGTCCTTCCCATAGCCTCTGTCTTCCTAAGGCCCAACTCTATACCAACGTGTGCACATGAACATCCATGTGCATGGTGGGATATGTGAGTAGCCTTCCCCCTAGATGCTGTAGCTCCCACTAAATATAACCCCTTCCCCATCCTGTGACTCACCCAGACCCTGCTTCCCCCAGCCACCACTTCCTGTCCCTCCTATTCTTCCCCACCCTCCCAGCCTGCCACCTGCCTAACCCTCTACAGAGGCATCTAACCCCCAAATCTCAGATTCTCCCATAAGGGAGCCAGGTGTCCTTCCCCACCGCCACCACCACCCAGGCCCTTCTGCCTTTCACAGACTAGCCCCTCCACATTCAGCTTTCTCCCTGACTCCCCCCATTTCCCCTACCCCCCCCAGTCCCCTTCTATTCTACTACTCCCCCTCATTCTGCCTACCTTCAATTTGCCTCCATCCCAAGCCCCATCCAACTGCTTAAGGCCTAGATTCTTTCCTTGGTCTGGGGGTCACCCTCCAAATCCAGGGTGTCCTTCACATCCCTCCCCCTTAAGAGCCTGGTTGAGCAGGGCTGGAGTTTGTCTTTCCATCTGCTTTTCTCTCCTTCCCTCTCTCCTGCTGGGGACAGGAGTGAGAGCTAGAGCAAAGTGAATGGGCAAAGGCAAAGGGGGAAGAATGAGAACACCTGCTTGGGGGTCTCCCAAATTCACCACCCACATGACACCCAAATCAGCCAATTCCTGTAAGCCTATCTCAGATTCTTAGATTTTCTCTTGCCCTAGAGCAGGGGATCCCTAATGATATAGCACCCCAAATCTTAACCTAATCTCGATTGGTCCTTTAAAATGGTTTCCTGTCTCAGGCCTTGACCCACTGAACCTTTACTACTCCCAGTCACCCTCATACTGGGTGAGCCCCCAAAATAAGTATGATCCCTAAACTGTAGTTATATTCCTCCAATGGGGTTTAAGCAATTCCCCCAAACCCAAGAGTATCTCTCAAGGCCTCTAATTCTCCCCCCAAATTGACCTATAGTTCCCAAAAACCAACCCTGCCCTCTTCCCCAGTGAAGACCCCTCCACCCCTAAAGCATAAGAACTTCTCTCCCAGTATGAGCCAGGCTTCCCCCAAGACAAGCATCCCTTACATCCCCCACAAATTCCAAACTGCTAGGCTCCCCCCCAAAGCCATATAAACCCCCCCACATTTGTGCTCCATATAGACACTTTGGGGAATCACTCCAGGGTGCCCCATGGCTGCCTCTAGTCTTCCCTGCATTATCTATATCCCTGTGTTTCCCCAATCCGGAGAGACAAATCCTAAGCACCCCACTTCTACTGAGCTTTCCCTAATGGACTCTAGGCTCCAAATAAGGCCTACCTGGTACCTCTGTACAAACTCTGTTCCTTCTAGATATCAGCCTTTTGACACCCCTTTCTCCACTCCCCCCCCAATATCCTGCTTACCTTGGTTGTCACGATACAGAGACAGTCCATGTTTGGGGGGCTGGACGCTGTGGCGTGTGGGGGGCTCTGACTTCATTAGGGTCTCATTCCCCCCCTCAGCCAGCTCCCCCCCCCCCCCCCCTCCGTCCCCCACTTTTTTGGGGGGGGGGGGGGGGGGGAGGGGTGAGGAGGGGAGGGAGGGGGAGGGAGAAGAGGAAGAGAGGGGAAGCGTGGGAGGGAGGGGAAGAGGGGCCCCAAAAGGTGGTCCCCCGAATAGAAGACAGAGAGCTTGGGGGGGTGCCCACCCCAATCTCAGGAAGGGTGGGGGCGCAAGGGGCTTGAAGCCCCAGGGGCCGGAGGCTGAGACATGAGCTGGGATAGGAGGGGGAAGGGGAGAAGGGGTGGGAGAAGCTGGGATGGGGGGGGTCTTGAGAGAGGGGCTGGGGAGGGTCTCTCCTGGCAGCTGGGAAAGGGGGAATGGGGAGGGGGGGTTGGAGGCAGCAGCCACGGCCAAGGGAGCAAGGAGCTGAGAAGGGAAGGCGAGAGAGGAGAGAGGAAGAGGGGGGAGGAAGGGAGGGAGCAAGGGATGGGGGGGGAGCAAGGGAGGTTAACTCCTTCAGTGCTTGGGGGAGCCCGGATACACGGGGATGAGGATGGAGATGAAGGCGGAGATGAAGACAGAGTCACAGACACACACATAGAGATGAGGACAAAGAGAGAAAGATACACAGTGACAGCCAGAAAAACAGACACAATCAGAGAGTCACCGAGACACAAGGAGAGAGGCATAGAGATGTTGAGAAAAAAAGGATGAAGGCAGAGGGAAAAAATAAATCATGTAACTGACTGTATTTCTTGGCAGGGGCAATGGTATGGTGGGGAGCACCTGTGAGTGGGAGGGGACCCTGAAAATATTCTTGAGGCAAAAGTGTGGGGAGGAGGAGGAGAAGGAGATAAAGAGGGATTAGGAGGGAGGATTCTGAGTCCCTGGCTGCCTGCACTGGGCGAACTGATGGCCTTGGCTTCCCTTTGGGGTGGTTTTTAGGAGGCAGGGATGAAGTGTGATTATGTCCAGGACTCTGTAGGGCCAGAAATATGAGAAGTAGAAAGAATACGAGAGGGATGTAGAGAAAAGTGTGGGATGAAACACAGATATTCAGCCAATGGCACCTCTGGCTTCTACTACGTTCCAGGACACAGGGCTCTGCACTCCTACCCTAGGAGAAACCCTTGTTTCTTTGCCCCAGTTTAATTCCAATATTTCTTTTCCTTCTGTTGCCACACCCAACTTCCCTCAAAGACAGATTTTCCCTTAAGGATAAAGGTATTTAGACCCTTACCCCAAGGCCCTTACCAGACTATCACAGACAGCAGCTTCATAATAATCCAGGATATCTATGAGGAACAATTATGAGTTGCCCAGTCATCTAGTTCTACATACTCTGGCTTTCCTTAGATACTATTCTGAATATGAACATCGCTATCACCCCTTCCCCCTAATCAACCCTCCCAGGGATCCAGTAGTTTTAGCCCCTCTGCTACTCACCCAGCAGAGCCTGGAAGAGGTCACTGTGCAGCACCGCAAGGAGGTGGGGTGCCCACTGCAAGAGTGGGGGAGCCAGAAGCCAAAGGGCCGATCTAGGGACTGGAGAGATGAAGACAGGATTATTGGGGTGGAAACATAAAGACACTGAAACAGAGACAGGCTCTGACCTAGGGAAATACTTGCTAATCCCTTCACAATCCTTCTAGATCCCTCTGTCCCTCTCACCCTAGTCATCTATAGAGGAATCCCATGTTCCAAGCTTCTAGAGACCCCTAGAACTCCAAAACCTCCCCTCCAGAACCCCTGTCTCTAACCTCCTGGTTCCCTTGGCATCTCTTTCTGTCATTTTAATCTCCCTAATCCATCAGATTTAAATTAAGCTGCCTTCTCCACCAGCCCAGATTGTTAAGTAATGTAATTACTCTTTCCCAAATCCTTAGGCATCCCAACTCACTTGTTATAAGTGATCTCTCAGTCTACCTAACCCCCAATCAGATATATTTGTGATATTATGGATGTCCCACTTAATGGGGAAAAGAAGAGAGGAAGGTAAAAGGTAAGGGTCCTCTCTGGAGGAGGCTGCAGCAGAAAGAACAAGGAATGACTAGCACTTTTCCCCTTAGGCCTGACTCATATGGAGACTACAGCAAAAGGGATTCAGATTAGACTCAGGAAAGACATTAATTTAAGACTAGAAGAAAATGGGTTGCTCAGTGAAGAGTAGATGTTGCTTATGGACACTTCCTGACACTCTCTTCTCATTTCCATCTCCAATTCCCAGCCATGGGAGGAGGGGGGATCCTTCTCAGTAGAAAAGATGATCTCCACAGATGAACTAAGGAGACGGTAGTAGTCTGTAAGATAGATGTGTTCAGAGCTTTGTAGCAGCCAAGCTGAAATGACCTCTTGGGTCCTTTTAACCCAAAGAGTTTTAGACTGCAAGTCTTAAAGTCATGGGGACTTCCTATGTCTGAAGAGGTGTGGTGTGTGAAAAGTCGATACTTGAAGCAGGCACACATACACACTTATAATTTTACTAATTCCCATGGTGTGTGTGTGTGTGTGTGTGTGTGTGTGTGTGTCTGTTTGTCTGTCTGTCTGCCTGTGAATGGGGTTGTTTCAAGGCAAAGGACTGAAAATAAAACATATCTGACCAAGCATCTCAGACAAGATCTGTCTAAGCCTAGATTTACTCTTCTCATCTCCAACCAACTAGGATATCCTCTCTCCAATCTAAACTACATCCCTCTAATTTTAGCTTTTTTCCTTCTCTCCAGCCCCCATCCCTCCCCATTCCATTTCATCCTCTCCAGCCCTTGCAAGACATAGATCTGGGCCTTAATGGAAAGCTGAGAGAAGGGGACCAAGGGGTACACTTGAGCCCAAGGGAATGGGGAAAGGACCTAAGAACCACATATCCCAGCATGCCTTGGGTGCAATAAGCCCCACCTACCTCCCCCAGTTGTATGATGGGTGATGAGTCAGGGGTAGGGCAGGGCAAGGGGCTGGGCAAATCTATGTAGCAGGAGGGGGAGGAGAAGTGGAAGGTCAGAGTCAAGAGAGGAGTTGCATTTGGGAGGCACAGGCCAGGCAGGAGGCACCGAGCAGGAGGTTAAGATGTGGGCTGCAGAAATGGTTCACAGAGTGGGGCTCCAGATGCTGAGGCAGGGGAGGGCCAGGTGAGTGATGGGGGATAGCGGGGTCTGGGGAAGGTGGGACAGGAGCAGAGCAACAGGAAGGGCTCCTCCATCCAACATTCTCATGGTCCCTAGTCCTGAGGAGCTTCGGGGGAGGGGGATGAAGAGTTAGCATGGGACAAGGGTAGTAGCTGGGAATTTGGGGGGATAGGGTAAAGGGATCCCAAAGCTAATAGCCCTGCCCCCTTGCCCAGCCCCCAGAGCTGTTGTTCACTTTTGGGTGTGAAGTCTGCTCAGAACTACACTGACAAGGCCACAGAGGTAAGCTTGGAGGGTGTGCTGGGCTAGGCTGGGCGCTGAGAGCTTGGAGGCTCCCCCTGGCTGCCTGCTGGGATTAAACTGTTCTTCCAGTCACCTGCTCCTGTATGTGGCTGTGAAATTAGGGGAAAGGTCATGGGGGGGAGAAATTAGGGTAAAGGTTACAGAATCTACATTGCCCCACCTGTCCCTTCTTAGAAACTACCCCCCTTGCCTTTAGAACTCTCTAATCTTCTAGTTCTCCCTTCACAGGGACACAGATGTAGAGTTAGAAGGACTGTCAGAGGCCATGGCTTCTTTATTCCCTATTCTCCACCCCCTTCCCCATTCCTGCTCCTGCAGCTCCCAGTATTTTATTCACCCTTCCCTTCTCCGTAGGTGGTACTGGACAAAATGGGTTCAGTTTCCTCAACAGCCTCAGCAAAGGACAAAGATAGCCCCAGCGAGGTGGTAGGTACCACCTGAGTTGAGTGATGTAGGTGGGGTGGGGCTAGTAATGGGGGAATATTTCCCTTTCTTCCGTTCAGTTTCCTTACATTTCCCCTTTCTTCCTGTCCTAGAAGTCCAAGTCATTTGCGGTAGGGATGTTTAAAGGACAACTTACTACAGAGCAGGTGTTTCCTTACCCTTCAGGTAGACTGTGTTCCTCTGGTAGGAGGTGGGTAGAGGAAGAAGGTCAGCTTTCTTAGAGTGATGTCCAATCTAACTGACTCTCTGACCTTTATAGTGCTGAATGAGGAGCAGATGCAGTTCCTGAAAGAGCTGGTGGGGCCTGTGTCTCGATTCTTTGAGGTGAGGGCTGTGGATGGGGGTGGCTAGATGGTGGTTAGGTCAGTTGAGGGGAGGGTGGTTGCCACCATGTTTCTATTAGTGATTTACACAAAGGCAGAGATGACATGCTTACCAAATATGTGGATAAGCTGAATCAGGGAGGTACGCCTAACATATCAATATTCAAATAACAGAATGAGGATCCGAAAAGTTCTCAGCAGGCTGGAAAGAAGGACTAAGTCTAGGATGACATTTGATAGAGAAAAATTGTTACGTCCCACAGTTGGGTTCAAAGAGTCAGCTTCATGAGGACAGGATGAAGGAAGCATGGCTAGAAACAGTTTGTATGAAAAAGATCTGAGGGCTTTAATCCACTGCAAGTTCAGTACTAGTTACCAGGGGAATATGGTGGCCAAAATCAAATCTGATCATAAGACAGAGTAGGAAACATAACTTCCAGAACCAGGGAACCCCTGCTGTGCTCTACCCTAATTCAGCCCACATTTGGAATTTAGTGTTTAGTTCTAGATGCTGTGTATTAGGAAGGACAATGACAAGGTAGAGTATAGCCAAAAGATGGTGGGGGGGGGTAAGAGGACAGGAAACCATATCACATAAATATAGTTGAAGGAAATAGGGATAGTTAGCTGCCAGAAGAGATTTCTTTGTGGGGCAGGGGGGACACATAATGGCTGTCTTCAATTTGTCATTATACTAAACTTGACAAGCGTCAACAAACATAAATATCTCCATATATAAGGAACAGAAAAAGAGGATTTATACATAAAACTGCAAATTATTACATGTAGCTTGTTTTTGTAAGTCTGTAGAAAATTCAACATGTTGTGTATGTCAAGGGTATTGTTGAGGGGATTCTGGTATACAAGTCTGGGTTGGCCTAGATGGCTTCTGAGGCCTTCTCCAATGTTTAAGATTTTGTGATCTTGTAGTTTTCTCTCTTATACATAGGAGGTGAATGATCCTGCCAAGAATGACAGCCTAGAAAAGGTGGAGGACTCCACCATGCAGGGGCTAAAGGAATTGGGAGCCTTTGGGCTCCAAGTACCCTCTGAGCTGGGGGGTGTAGGACTTTGTAACACCCAGGTAAGATTTTCTACCCTATCCCTAACCCAACTTTAAGTCAGAGCTTTTCATTCCCTAATATCTTCATATCTCTACATTACTTTCCATATCTCTATGACCTCTTCTATCCTGTGCCTCTAAAGACTGCCATACAATCTTACAGACAGCTTTTCTGTCCATATGTCTTCTTTATTTCCTAATGGAAGACTCTCCTTGGGAAGGGGCTTCGTGAGGCCTGAGCCTCTTGAGACTAGATGCTGAGAGAGGATAGTTAATAGGGAGCATGATCCCTGGAAATGGTCCACTAATGCTTATGACCTGAAGCAGAGGGAAGAGATGCCTCCCATAGCTGCCCTTCCCTCTCTGCTCTCTTCAGTGCCCTAAACTTATCTTCTTTTTCCTAAGCTCCTTCTTAGCCTGGAATCTCAGTCTTTTCTCTGTTCTAGCTGAGATCATAGGATCATAGGTTTTGAGCTGGGAAGGACTTAAGATCCCTTTTCCCAACTGTTTCCAGGTGTCCACAGGCCTCTAGATCCAGGTTGAGATTTTTCTCAGAAGCCTCATCTCTCTCCTCCTGGCCCTTCCAACTAGCTTTAAGCATACTTTCACAAGTATGGGCCAAATCAGATTCATCTTTTTTTTTTTTTTTAAAGCAGTTGGGGTTAAGGGACTTGCCTAGGGTCACACAACTAGTAAGTGTCAAGTGTTTGGTCTGAGACCAGATTTGAACTCAGGTCCTTTTGACTTCAGGGCCGGTGCTCTATCCACTGCACCACTTAGCTGCCCCTAGATTCATCTTCTACCTACCCCTTGTGGCCTGACTGCTCTGGGGTGAGGGGACAGGATATATATCTTTGGTTTCCGGCCTCAACCAAACCTAAGCAAAAGCCTCGTCACTTTCCTACCAGTATGCCCGCCTCGTGGAGATTGTAGGGATGCATGACCTTGCTGTGGGCATCGTTCTGGGGGCCCACCAGTCCATCGGTTTCAAAGGTATTCTGCTCTTTGGCACTGATGCCCAGAAGAAGAAATATCTCCCCAAACTCGCATCTGGTAGGTGAAACCAATAGAAGGATTCAAAATTTGTTCAGCTGGAATCAGTTTTAATAGCCTTCCATAGAGCTAGCTACCACAAACAGCCAGGGACTCATCTTTGGGTTGGAAGAGGGAGTCAGTGAGATTTGAAGGGGTCAAAGACTGGATATTACTGGAGGAAGAGCTTTAGGTAGGAAGAGGGTACATAGGACTGTTGGCAGTTTGGCGGCAACGCTAAAACCATTGGTGACTGCCAGGATGAACTAAGGTGACTATGGAAGGATGAGGCACTTGGTGAAGGAGTTATTGAAGGTTGGGGCTGGAGACCAAGGGCATATTGGGATTTGGGATTTTGGGATAAGGGATTTGGAGTGGGGTTGCATGGTCCTCTTTCCATAATGACCTCTTTCCTCCTCTCCTGACAGGAGAGAACTTGGCAGCTTTTTGTCTAACAGAACCTTCAAGTGGATCTGATGCAGCTTCCATTCGAACTACAGCTGTGCCCAGCTCCTGTGGAAAGTACTATACCCTAAATGGTAGCAAGCTCTGGATCAGGTGATTAACCCCATCCTCTTTGGCTGGGCCCCGTATCTCTATCCTCCCCCATTTTATGCTATGCCTGGCTCCCCTCTTCCCTTTGAGCATCTCTCTCTTCTCTATTTCATTTCTCCCTCTACTCCCTTTACCCTGATCCCATACCTCTCCACCCTTCCACAGTAATGGGGGTCTGGCAGAGATCTTCACAGTGTTTGCCAAGACGCCATTGAAGGATGCATCCAGTGGGGCAGTGAAGGAAAAGATCACAGCTTTTGTGGTAGAAAGGAGCTTTGGAGGAGTCACTAAGTGAGTGTTTGGGGGTGAGGGGCAGCGGGAAGGGTTGGGAAAATAAAACCTAATGGGACCTGGGGACCCAGGACCAGTGTCTCTTTCAAGCATGCTGAAAGATGTAGTTTCAGCATAATATTAAGTCACCAGGGTAGGTAGGCTGGAGCTGTCCCTTCAACATGCTGAGAACCAATGCTGTCTTAGTTGCTTACCCAGTGCCATCACCAATCTCATTCTGGGAGTTACAGAGTTCAGCCCCTTGTCCCCACAAGATGGTGCCTCTACTTTTTCTGCTCTGTCCCTTCCCATTTTGTCATTCCATACCCATGTAGCGGGCCTGGTGAGAAGAAGATGGGGATCAAGGCTTCCAACACAGCAGAGGTGTACTTTGACGGTGTGCAGGTGCCTACAGAGAATGTGCTGGGGGAAGTTGGAGGTGGCTTCAAAGTGGCAATGCATATCCTCAACAATGGAAGGTTTGGCATGGCTGCTGCCCTTGCTGGCACCATGAAGAGCATCATTGCCAAAGCAGTAAGTCCCCTGGCATTCATGGTCTGCCAGTTTGGCCAAGTTTTTCTGTCCCTTTAAGTCTGTCAAAATGTCACTTTTAGCTCTTATTTGAATGGATCTTCCTGTAATCCTATCCTTTATCAGTGCTCTACTCCTAATTCTGCCCAGCCTACCATGGGCCAGGCAGGAAGCTAAGCACTTTTACAAATATCATCCCATTTGATCCTCACAAGAACCTTGAGAGGTAGATGCTATTATGATCTCTATTTTCCAGTTAAGAAAACTGAGGCAGACAGAGGTTAACTGACTTGCGTGGGTTCACAAAGCTAATGAGTATCTGAGGCTGGATTTGAATTCAGGTCTTCCTGACTCCAGGTCCAGTATTCTATCCACTGTGCCACCAATGGTCTCTGTATACCCTAACCTCCATAATGAGAGATTTTCTGCCTGTTCATAAGATCTCATCCCTTAATCTTCTGTTTTGGAGGAATAAGAGTGGACAGGTCCAGAGAAGGGCCAGGGTGAGACCAGGATCAGGGATTCATGTTTTTGGGTGTGCATGTGTAATTGTTCTCTAGGATTCTAATGTACTACGTCTTTGCCCCAGGTGGACCATGCTGCCAATCGCACCCAATTTGGGGACAAAATCCATAACTTTGGGTTAATCCAGGAGAAGCTGGCTCGAATGGCTGTACTGCAATATGTTACTGAGGTGAGAGGCTCTCCCTCTCAAAGACTTCAGGGCATCTACCTCTTCCCTTCCTGTGACATTGTGGGCTAGCCAGCCTTAGCCAACCCTAAGACCAGCATCCTGCAGTATGCCAAGAATTAGAACTGGATTTGCTGAGGATAGAGAGGCTAAAGGTAGATGAGATTGTCCTTCATGGATCGATCCCCTCACACTCTGGAAAGCCATGGACAAGAATTTAAGACTGGCTTTTGAAATGGTGAGAGGCACTGATTCTGTAAATTTATATTCTGGTTGTTCTGATGTACAGACTGACGAGATGGTGACCCTGTGACCCTCTCCAGGGTTAGAAAGGCACTTAAGAGGGGTGTGCCTTTCACTAGAGCCTTGGTTTTCTTCCTTTGGAAGTTAAGTACAATTCTCAATAAGCCCTGGTATGGGGATTTATATAGGTCCAAAATTGCCTACTACCCCCTGAGAATTATAATTTGGCTTGTCCCCAGACATGGGAAAGACTTTTTTTAATGGGACTTATTTATTTTTGGGGGGAAAGGGGGAGTAGATGGGTTAAATATTGTTTGGTTTGGGAGATTTCAGAGATGAACCTACTCTCTTCTCCCCTGCCCCCAACCTTATTGTCTCAGTCTATGGCTTACTTGGTGAGCTCCAACATGGACCAGGGATTTAAGGACTTCCAGATAGAGGCGGCCATCAGCAAAATCTTTGGCTCGGTGAGGCCCTGACATGTGCTGGTTAAGGAGCAATGGAAGGGAGGGGAAAAGAGGGTCCACTAGAGTATAAGGGCTGAGATAGGTGTGGAAGGTGGGTTAGCAGGGGTAAGGTATAGAATGGGCACGGGTAGGGTGTAACTGGCTTTGACCCTATCTCTGTTGTCTCTCTACCCTCAGGAAGCAGCATGGACAGTGACAGATGAGTGTATCCAGATCATGGGTGGCATGGGCTTTATGAAGGTGGACATCCCTGACTCATCCTTTAGGGGGTCTGTGGGTAGAGATGGCCTGAAGCCATGACCAGGCTCTGACTGTGGACAAATTGGGTGGTTCTAGAGGTGGGAGGAAATGGTCCACAGTGTTCTGACACTGCCCCATTTTCTGGCCTCTAGGAACCAGGTGTGGAAAAGGTGCTTCGAGATCTTCGTATCTTCCGGATCTTTGAAGGGACAAATGACATTCTGAGGCTGTTTGTGGCCCTTCAGGGCTGTATGGTGAGAGAGGGAAGATCTGGGGAGAAGAGGTAGTGGAGTGGTGTGAATGTAGGGTCTTGTTACTATATTTTCCCCTCCATCCCAAACAGGACAAGGGAAAGGAACTCACTAGTCTTGGTAAGGCTTTGAAAAATCCTTTTGGAAATGCTGGCCTTCTGCTAGGAGAGGCAGGGAAGCAGTTCAGGCGGTAAGGAGATGGAACTTAGCTGAAGGGAATTAGGGGGAGGCTAGGGACTTGAAAAGTAAGTTGCCTTACAGTATTCCTCCTCCAGCCGGACAGGTCTAGGCAGTAACTTGAGTCTGAGAGGAATTGTCCACCCAGATCTGAGTCGGAGTGGTGAGTTGGTGAGTAGGGAACTTAAGGTACAGGGATGATAACAGTGGGGAATTTGGGGGTATGTGTGGCCCCTCTCACCCCTTATGCCTCTTCCCCCTCCTCTAGGCAGTAGGAGCTCTGGAACAATTTGCCACAGTAGTAGAGGCCAAGTTGATAAAGTACAAGAAGGAGATTATCAGTAAGAAAGACACCAAAACTATTCCCTCAATCCCCTCCAACTGCCCTTATCTTTCCACAAGCAGACTCCCTCTGTCTCCTCTCCAGATGAGCAATTCCTCCTGCATCGATTGGCAGACAGCGCCATTGACCTCTATGCCATGGCGGTGGTACTTTCCAGGTAAGAAGAGGCCAGCCAAGTCTGGGGCATGGTGTAAGGTGGGCCTATTCCATTCTATCTTTCTTATCATCTGTCTCACACTTCAGGGCCTCCCGTTCTCTGAGTGAGGGCCACCCCACAGCCCAACATGAGAAGATGCTCTGTGACACCTGGTGTATAGAGGTATATGAGGGCTGAGGGTTGGAAGAGAACAGGGGTTAGGGAAGGAACAATAACCCTTCCCTCTTTATCCCTGTGTTTTCTTCTAGGCAGCAGCCCGGGTCCGGGAGACCATGGCTAGCCTGCAATCAGACCCCCAACAGCACCAGCTCTTTCGCAACTTTAAGGGCATCTCTCAGGCAATGGTGGAAAAGGGAGGTGTGGTTACCAATAACCCCCTTGGCTTCTGAGCATTCTCAACTTCTTTTTCTACACTACCCCATATGTGCCTTTTCTTTGGCCAAAGCCAGGCTTCTCATTTCATCCCTACCTTTCACTAGCCAGGCCCTTGAGAGAGGGGATAGCTTTAAGGGACCTGAAGTGGCCAGGCCTATTTATCTCCTCTTACTAGGGGAGGGGCTTAAAAATCTTGTATTTCTGCCTTGACAATGGGTGAGTTTCTCCTTCACAAAAAAGTAAAGATTTTTAACATGGAAAATCTTGTGTGAGATGTCTCTCCAAATCCTATTCCCTTCTTGAAGCTAGAGATTTGCTTTACCAAGAAAATGGCCAGTCAATAGGAAATTTCCCTCTATTGCTTTATTTAGGGTTTTATACACAAAAGTCTAAAATAAATAGCAATATAGGCAGCTATGGAGCCCTTGCTTTGGGGATCCTGAATTCGAAAGGCAGATGGAAAGGGTACCCACAACATCCCAATCCTACTCCCTAACCATTTGGGTAAAGACAACGAAGATGGGGAGGGATTGTCACAGGGCTACTTCATTTGAGAAAAATATATTTCTTAAGTATCAAAAAGTATAAGAAAAGTTTATTTTTTTCTCCCCTCCCCCCTAAAAAAAGTTTATTATATAAAATCTCCTGTAACCCTATGAAGAGGGTCAGATCAGGCACTGCTGGTGGTAGTTGGCTGGGTTAAAAAACACAAAAAACACACGTTGGACCCGATGGTGTCCAAGGAATGGCAAAAGTGAGTCTTGGCTATAGAAATGTGAGGGGGAACGGCTACTCACATGCTAAAAATTAAAATCAAGACATGAGTGATAGAAAAAGTCCTACATGACATCCACAAAAAACTCACTAGGGTTGCCCATGGCCAGGTGGAAGCTCTGTCGGCTGGCAGTGAGCTCAGGTGGCACAGAGCCCAGGTCACGAACAGGAGGTGCTCCAGGAGGCTGAACTGCTGGGGGTGGTGGTGGAGGCATCATAACCACCATCATGGGATTATATGGTAGGGCCACAGCAGGGGGTGGTCCGTAGGGATGGAGATTAGGGTGAGAACGAAGACTGCTGCCACCCCCACCTAGTCCCCTGGGTGGAGGAGGGGTGGCATCACCGGAATCCCCGCCCCAGGGGAGGCCGCCACCACGGCTCGACGGCTCCGATTCACTGCCACTGCCTGACTTGGACTCCGGGCCCCGATCTTCTGGTCTCCCGGCCCGCCCCATTCCCCCATCGCTCCGTGTAGACCCACTGCTCCGGCTTCCTGGGGAGAGGGGATGGGAATGCTGGAATGTTCACAGAAACACTGTGGACGTCCCCCTTCGGTCCCGTCCATACTTGTTATCTAGCTCCCTCGGTTCCACCTGCCCAGCCACCCTGAGGCCACTCGCTAGGCAACTTACCCTCACTCTGTTGGCTGCCGGCGCTGCCCCCGCCATAGCTGTAGGATGACAGCTCATGGTAAGGGGGGGGGCTGGGGGCTGTAGGGGTGTGGGGCTGGGTACTGGTAGGAGAAAGTAGGCAGCAGGGGCCAGGGTGTGGCCCCCGGCAGGGGAGCCAGCGTGTCTTGGTCAGAAGCTCCGCTTGATCCGTCGTTATCATTCAGAGACAGGTTCACAAGGTCTGAAGGAAGAGAATACCCTGGTTCAGGAATCCGAGATCTTCAGCCTCTGTGCTGGGGAAAGCTGTTGGGCATCTTAGAACTGGTATGGTTGGGACCAAGGGAGAAGGATCGTTTTGCAAGGCCAAGTTTCTCAAGGCCCCTTTGACAGGGGAAGAATCCGTTTTCACAGGATTTAGAGCTGGAAAGGATCTTATTTTTAGAAGCAAGGAAACATTATGGCCTACTAATAATTACACACAGTGAGCCAAGATTGAGTTAGCAGAGCTGGAATTCAAAGCTCGGCCTCCATGTGCAACATTCTATTTGCCCTATACGTTTATATCTCCCCCCAACCTGGAATTGGAGAGAGTGGTCTGTTTGGGAGGGATAAAAGTCGAGGCAGTGTTCTCAATTAGGAAGAGCTGAAGGATCCCAGGTTGGGAAGTGGGAAAGGAAGGAATGGCTTACAGCTTTCACAGCCCCCACTGAGGTCCCCGAAGACATAATAACACTGTTCAGAAAAGGTGATCTTGTTGACGGTATGCCGGATGAGGCCTGCCTTCAGCAACCCACTGGCATATTTCCTGGCCTCCCGACGCTCAGGGAACCCCTCCACATGGTGGTAAAGCCAGTCCACTACATCTGAGCCTGTTGCAGACACGGATGCAGAAGGGTATCACAAAGGGCCGACTGGACCCCAACTCCCCGAGCTGGCCTCAGCCCTCTCCTTGTGTTAGCCTTTCTTACCCAGAAAGGCATTGGGGATAGTTATCTTGAGCCACATTCGGTCCCGGACCTCCAGCCCAGACTCAGGGGCTGCCATGGCCTTGGTCACAGATGCCATGTCTGTGTGTATGGAGAGGCTACGCCCTTCACACCCTGGGGAAAAAATGTGCTCACTGAGGACAAGAGGCAGGACCCATGTTTCCTGGGAGGAAGAGAATAAGCTGAGGGAGTACGTCAAGAGGAACACGAGGTGGCCCTGCTAAGCCAAGGGCCATTCTATCCTTCAGGGAGTTCTGGGATCAGGGCCTTGTCTTCACTTGTTGGGGAGGACAGCACCACAGAGCAGGGCCTTACCATCAGGCAGGGAGGAGCCTGAGGTTATGGTACTCATGGAGGAAGAGCCTGGGTAGGCAGGGAAGGCACCAGTGAGTGCTGCTGAATGAGAGACCCAGGCAGCAGGGTCAATAGGCTGGATTGGCTCATCTGTCCAAGGAGAAGAATGAAGAATACAACAGATGATCAGAACTGGATCACTCCACTTTCCAGACCCAGGCATTTGACCCACCTGCCCTTTGACTATATATACTCCACAATTCCTCAGCTTCCTTTCTCTTCAAAGACCTAGGATTGTCCTGGTTCTCCCTGTCCCCCTGAGCCACTGGTCTTTATGGTCTCCCTCTCTCCCCAAAACACAAGAGACAACTCACTTCGAGGGAGTGTGAAGTAGGCCTGAGGCGAGGGATCCCAGCACTTGGCCACTGTTAACACAATGGGGCTGTGAGGGAGGAAGGTCTGGTCAATAGCAGGCTGGATGATAGTGCCATGGAAGGACAGAATATAGGACAGGGCAGTTGAGAGAGGTGTTAGAATGGCAAATTAGAACAAATGGATAAGGGAAGAAAAGAAGAATTTAGGAGAATGGGATATGGAAGGAGGAAGAGGAGGGATGAGGTGGGGGAAGGAAGGGCCAAGTGGGCAGAAAGGGGAAGAGAGCCAGAGGTGAGAAAAGTACCACTGGAAAAGAGCTGAGAAGATACAGTGTGAGGTCTGGTTCTTTGCCTCACCCAGGCTTGTGCACAATCTCTCTCAGCACCCGTACAGCATCGTCATTACTCATGTTCTCAAAGTTCATGTCATTCACCTGGGGGGAGGGGTCAAGAGACTCAAGGTGAGAGGGAGGCTGAGGGCCCCAAGAAAGGGGAAAAACCTGTGCTACTATGCACACCTGCAGTAGCATGTCCCCTGGTTCAATTCGCCCATCTGCAGCCACAGCACCACCCTTCATGATGGAGCCAATGTAGATGCCGCCATCGCCACGTTCATTGCTTTGGCCCACAATGGAGATGCCCAGGAAATTGTACTTTTCTGTGGAGGCATTTTGTTTGGCAGTTTGATTCCCCATCCCCTAGAGACTCAGATAAACAAGCCCCAATAAACCACCACTACTTAAGGCCCAACAATCTACCTCCCATACATGACCTCCTCCCATCTTAGGGTCCCAGGCTTCCAACTGCCCCCATACCCATGTTGAGTGTGACTGTGATGATGTTGAGAGACATGGTAGAATCCGTCACACTGCTGAAGGATGATGTCTGTGGAGGGGATGAAATAAGGACAGTGAGGAAGCTTCATTCTTTTCTGGAACTAAGGTGTCCAGCTCTATAATTCCTATCTCTATCTCCTTTCTCTCCTTCCATTTTCAACCAGGTCTTATGCAGACCCAGTTTCTCCGAGACTTCCCAGTTCTACCCATTTGTTTCCCTCAGAGACTCCCTTAGAGGTGTCTGGCCACATCACCCTCTCCAGTCGAGGTGGTCGCTGTTTCCTCCTCCGACGGTGTCTCTTTAGGAGTCGGGAGGCACTGCTCTGCTCTGTGGAGCTACTGAACCTAATAGGGATAATGTGGACAAAAAAAAAAAAGATTAAGGGTCTAAGGGAAGCAGTAAGAGGGATCACATCAGCTTCAGTTGAGGAAGGAAGCAAGGAGTGTGGGGACAGAATAGGAAAGGGAGATGTAAGCCATACCTGCTCATGGTATCATCCTCATCTGAATCTCCCAGGCTGGTGTTCTCCAGCTCACTAGTTAGTAGAGTAGAGGAGCTCTCATAACCAGCCAGGTGTCGCTCCAGGCGGGAAGAACCACTAGGCCGATGGCTTCCACCTAGTCAGATATAGGGATATAAGCGACTGGACTTCCACCCCAGGGAGATCCAAAGTCTAGCTTCCCTGGTTCTCTCTTCTCCACCTTTCACTGCTCCTATCCCCTTGCAGACCCAGATGTGCTTACTGCACAAACCATGCCTCCTTTTCTCAGAATTTAGGAGTGTGATTGCCCTCACCAACATGATCGATGCTCTCTCTTCTCCTAGACCGCTCCCGTCTCAGTGATATTACTGACTCTGTTTCCGTCTCAGGTTCCAGGTTCTCTCGGCTGCTAGATACATTAGGGCTAGAAGAGGAATGGGGTCAGGGAAAGAGGTAATAGTGATGGGATTCCTCCTAAAAGCAACAGTGACCAGCTAGCCCCAGAATCTAACTAGAACCCAATCTGTTCTCTTCCTTCTTCCCACTCCCATCACCAACAAGACTCCCTAGGACTCACTGGAAGGATGGAGGCCTTGAATCCCCAATGCCGCTAGTCCTCTCAGGAGGGAGGGGAGGCAGTGGTGGGGGTGGAGATGAAGGTTCTGCCCGAGGTTCAGGAGCTGGGGGGGGATTCTCTGGCTGTGGGTTATCTGAGGACACAAGCTACAAAGGTGGAGAACAGGGATGAAAAGGGCTTGTTAGGAAAGGTAAGAACAGGGTAAAAGTTCTGGTGGGGGAATGATAGGAGGGAGGGAGAGGAAGATGAAGCCCAGGAGAGCCTGGACGGGGATCCAAGCTGGAAAAACAAAACCTGGAAGCTCCAAGAAAAGAATCTTGAGAGTCATACAGAATGGTAAACTAGGGCTTATGAGAGTAAAAAGTTGTTTTGAGGAAGGGGAATAGGAAAGTCCAAAAGCCCCTAGACAGGGGCTGGGGCAAGGGCAAAAGCATATTGGTGAGCAGGAGCTCCTTTTAAGGAAACTGGTGGGGCTGGTAATGTGAAAGAACGAGGGTCCCCCCCACAGGCCAAGGCACCTTACCCAAGAGACCACCCTCCCATTGAAGCAGGGCAATCGGGCATTGTCATCTGAAATCTCTTCCTTCACCACTCTGCAAGGAGATGGGAATAGAGTCAACAGTGCTAGGTGCCATTTCAAAGGTTCTGTCTTTGAACATTTCAGCCTTCTTTCTGAACCCCTCCTAGCTGGGAGTGGGGAGGTAGGGGCTTTTTGAATGATCATTTCCCCTCCCCACTCTCTCAAGTTGACAACAGCAATGCTTCTCATCTTCCTCTAGGAATCCCCCTACCTAGTAATTTTTCCCACTTACTTCCTTTTCCTTTCCTTTTCAACCTAAGTCAGGAACCTGGCAGGAATTCGAAATGTTTTTTGTGTCTACTTGAAACTCCTAGTTTAACCTTCAAGGGTCACCCACCCAAGCTCACCCAATCTCCTTAAACTATTTTTCTAATCTCAAGGCTTGGTCTGTCTACCCCCATTAGGTAAATATGGTCTCTCTTTCTTTTGCCCCTGCTTTGCCTTCTCCAGACACCAAGTCTTTGCAGAGATGTGTCCCTCATGCTTCCCAAATCCACAACTCTCCCTAATTCCCTAATTTTGTTCCAATGGGAGTATTGACTGATCCCATTTACCCACATCTTTCATTCCACTATTACCTGCTGGCACTCATGTCTGAAGCTCAGTCCAGTCAGTGAATGTTTTCTTTTTTACCTTCTGACCCATGTCTAGAAATCCTTCCAAATATATACCACCTACACTTGGATTTCTTGTCAGTGTCTAGGTAAGCACCCTATCAAACTGTCCAAGGGTGGGGGCTGTGTCTCTCCCATCAGCAAGGAAGCTATATTTGACCCCAAACTCCAAAGGAATGTCAACTCTCCCTTTTTGTTTTCCCCAGCACAAGGTACCATACAATGCAAACAGATGAAACCCCACTAATCCTACAATGTCCAAATTTCTTAATCTTCTTTCCCTCTAAATATCTCTTTGATCCAAAAGGCATTTATGACCACACCTCCTCAATGATCAAACTGACTTTGTCTCCTAAATGCATATCCTCCGTAATTTGCCTTTCAGTTTAGTATATTCAGGGAGCCTCCGTCACAGACCAAACTAACCCACGTTGACTATTCTCTCCCCAGGATTCACTCCATCACAGTGTAGTCTCCCACCTAGCACAATCCCTAGTATAGCCCAGTCAATCTATCCTCTATCATCACTATCCTCATCATCAGAATAATAGCTTACCTTTACATAGCACTTTTTGTTTTAAACGATCTAGTTGGATCCTGACAATAAGTGTGAGAAAAGTAGTGCAAACATCGACACCCAGAAGTCAGTGTGAAGAGAGCTAGACTTTGGCCAAGTCTAGAGACCTGGCTTCTATTTCTGGCTCTGACATTTAATTTCTGTGTAACTGTGGGCAAAATCACTTAACCTCTCAGTGTCTCAGTTTCCTCATCTGCAAAATAAGGTTTAATTTTAAGATCGTTCAAAACGGCCCCAAGACTATGGGGACCCGCTTTTTTTTTTCCCCACCCCCCCCCCCCCCCCAAGGTTCTTGGAGCCCAAGTGCCATCTATCCCGTTTTACAAAGCGGGAAACTGAGATGAAAGGACCTGCCCGCAGCCGGGGCTCGGCCCGCCGGAGGAGCGCAGCGGCTCCTCGGACCCCGCGCCCCCGCCCCCGCCGCCGCCGCCGCCACGCCTCCCGGCCGCTCGGGAGGGCCCAGGGCCCCGCGCTCACCCGAAATCCTGGTCCATTGACTTGAAGTAGTACTTGGCCCCGGCGGGGCGCTGCAGGACGCTCTTAAAGTCTCCCAAGGTGATGCGCTCGGCCGGGACCGGGATCTTGACCAGGTACGGCGTCTCCTCCTCGTCCAGATGGTAAATCACCTTCGTCTCGCCGGCCCCGCCGAGTCCAGCGGCGCCGCTGCCTGCCATGGTCTCGCCCGCGTCGCCCTCCCCGCGTACAAGCTCCCCTCTCCTCTCCCCTCTCCCACCAGACCGAGCCCAGCCGCTGCTGCCGCGCCTGCGCACACGAGCGCGGGGCCCGAGCCAACCGAACCCAAGCAGGCTAGGTGAGGGGGGAAGGGGGCGGAGCCCAGACACACTTCGCTCCCTCCCCCCCCCCCCCGGCCCTGCTTGCACCTTCAAAGTGGACGCCCTCCCGGCTCTTCTCCCTCCCAGTACCACCCCTCCAACCCAGCCCCGCGCCACATACTTCCCACTGCCGCCCCTCACGTGATACGGTACGCCTCACTTCCGGCTTCTCAGCTTCCCCTGTCACGTGAGGACTCCCCAGCCTCTGCCCACCCACGGTGCTGCCGTCCCTTTCCCTTAAAACTCCCACCCCCTCACTCTTCCCTCATTTCCAATCTCCCAATCCCCATTCAAGAGTCCCGCCCCTAAAATCTCACTAAAGTCTAAGGACCAAGAAAACTCACCTTCCTTCACAGACCACCAACCCTCTTCTTGTACCTCTGTCCCCATACATCCTCACCATTCCCTCCCACCCCCCCCACCCCGGAGACAGACCCTCATTGAAAGCCGGTTCTAGGGACTTTCTTACTCATGGTCCAAGGAATTACATTCAAGTGTCTAACCCAGGAGACCTTAGAGGGCATCTAAATCCTTTCATTTTTTAGAGCAGAAAACGGTCTAGGTCTCAGTATTTTTGGGGGGGGGGGGGAGAACATGATGATCTAGCCCTGCTGTCCCTTTTTTTTACATCAGACACATCTTCCAAGAAGGAAAGACAAGGGTCACAGGGCTATAAACACAAAAGAGCCCACTTTGTTTTATTTACAAACACGCTGTATGTACAAGCAGCTGGCCAATATTATTAAAACAAAGAAGTGGGTAGATGATACAAATATCACCAGTCCCACACAAAAGACAAGAGACCCATGTGTTACGTTCCTTTAGGCCACCTGAGCCAAAAGGCTTTCAAAAGGAAAGAAATGGGAGAGAGGGTTCAAGAAAATAAAAGGTAAGAGTCCAAACAAATGATGGAAGAAAAGGGTGGGCAATGCTATATTACACTAGAGGTATAGACAACTGCCTCACCCCACCCTGATTCCAACCCTAAGTCTGGGCTGGTGGATATGGGAGTAAGCAGGGTCAACTGGCAGAACAGTGAAGGGATGAAGAAGGGAATCTTAGGAATAGGGACACCTTCCTGTTCAATGGATCAAAATTCAAGTCCTAAAGGCTTTAGGGAAAAGACCCATTCATTCCCAAGCAAGCCTTCCTTGAGAATCCCCACTCCACAATGGGACAGTGTTCCAAGTCCCAATGGAGATCAGTGGCAACATAGGGACCCCATCTCAGCGATGACGTCTCTGTGAAGAGTTCCGACTTGAAGTAGGAAAGGTTGGGGTGGGTCCTAAGGCTCTCCAGGCTTGGAGAGACCGCCAGACCGACGGGCCTCTGGCCGCAACTCCTTGCACTTCTGGCAGTAAAATATGTCAGGGACGTTGGTCTTCTTAATCTTAGCACATGAAAGATGGATCCATGTTCCACACAAACTGCACTCAATCATGGGCCTCCCTGCAAAGGGCTTCTGGCAATAACAGGTGATCAAGTCCCATGAGTCATCGCCTGAGAGAAGGGATGGTTGTGATCAGGTTTCTGCTGAGGACTCAGAGTCTACAGAATTTCAAGCACTGCCCCACCCCAAAGAACCCATTCCCTTCAGGGACAAAAGTATATGTCCTTCTCTATTCCCACCCCTACTCCCCAGCATACTTCCCTCAAACACCCTTCTTACCTGATTCTACCATGATGTCCTCATCCATTACCCGCATTTCACCCTCACTGGAGCTCCCATCCCCATCCTGGCTCGTCTCTGTGCTCCCCACTTCCTTGGCTTCACTCTCAGTAGGGATACCTCCTGGGGGTGTTGAGGCGAGGGGCCGGGGAGCCTCAGGGGGTGGAGGGAGTACAGAAGCTGGGGCCTCACCCCCACAACTGCCTGCTACTGCTGTTGTCACCGCTACCATTTCATCTTCTTCTTCCTCCTCCTCCTCTTCCTCTTCTTCAGAGTCTGTGTCACTGGGAAGAGCCCGAGGGGGCCCAGAAGGGGGAGGTCGATCCCCCCTCTCCGGCTTTTTCAACTTTCGCTTCTTACTCTTCTTTATTCTTGACCTCTTCTCACCATCTGCAGGAGCGGACCGAGGTCTCCGAAGCACTCCAAAGCTTCCTCCCCCACCTGGTCCCAACTTTCGGTTCTTTCGGTCCTTTTTTCGGGAGGGTTGAGGGAGATCCTCCTGGGAAGCAATGACAGGGGTGAGGGTAGTAGGGGGCCGAGGGGCATGTGTTGGGGGTGCAGGGACCAGAGGGGGTGCCACTTTGGGTCCATCCAGATCAAAGAGAGAGTCCTTAAGCTTCATCTTCTCAAGCAGTGTAGCATTGTCAGAGGCCTGCAGTCGAGGAAAGGTGGGCCCTGGTGGAGGGGGGCCTGCTTGAGCAGCCCGCCTCTTGGAAGATTTAGCCTTTTTGACAAAAGTCTGGATGGTTCGAAGGTCTGAAGGGGCTGAATCCCAGCCATCACTATCTGCAGCACTCTCTCCCCGAAATGGTGAACTAGGGCCAGAGGCTGGCCAGTCACTTTCCTAGGGGTGGGTGGGAAGGGAGGATTAAGTGTTGGTGCCCCCTTTTAACAGAATTCCAACTCCATTCCCCACACCTGCAGACACATCAGACTTAAACACAACCAGGTCATCTAATACCCTGGGCCTCTCGCACAGTTAACTTCTCCAAGTTCAACCAATTCAGATACCTAACCCACCTACCTCCCTGCAAATGCCAACAATTCAGCCTCTAAACTAACCAGTCCCCAAACACCTCCATGAAATCTCTTTTGTCTCTAGAACCCCTATATCCCCCCATGATCCATTATCCTAACCTTAATCATCATAATAGTAATAAAAATAACCATTCACAATACACAGAACTTTCAAGGTTTGCAAACAGATTTCCTTCAAGTAAATATTTCAAATATCATACCAATTTTATAGATGACTGTGATCAATGCTAATAATTATCTTGGACAGGATTTGAACCAAGGATTCATGACACTAAATGCAACATTGGATATCTTCAACCTTACCTCCACAAGATCCCAAGAGTTCCCTGAAGACCCTCAAAAACTTTTCTGGCATACAAACAAAACCACCATTCCCCAGTTGTCCTATTTCCCTAATTCACCCCACCCCCAACTGCCTGCATTAATCTTATCTCCATTAATTCTAATTCTCTTGAATCCCCATAACTTCTCCATTTTCAATATCCTTCCATTCTCCCAATGCCATATTCATCTAACCATTTTATTTTTCATAATCTTCTAGATTTATTTCCATTACTACCTCTGAATTCCCCTTTACCCCACCAATCTCCCTAAATCTTATGTTAGCCTTCCCTCCCTTTCCCCTTATCCAAACTTCATGTCCCATCCCTAAGATCATTGCCCCTACCTCTTTGCTGGAGGGAATGTAGCCAGCATATGCCAAGACAAAACTGCAAAATTTGTTGAAATCCTCAATTGTTCGCCTTCGTTTTTCAGGGGGCTACAGAAAAAGAAGGAATCAGACACAATCTCAAAGGGAATAGTCAGAAGCAAAATTCCCCTGAAGAGAGGTAGAACTGGGGTGGAAGATCTAGGGGAATCTCATGTCTTGTTCTCTAAAGAAAGCTTAGGTTGGAGTAGGAAGGGAAATCCTACCTGGGCCTCTGGCTTCAGGTTCGGAGGAAGATCTGAAAAAAAATCAATAAAAGAGCTGAGTCAAGGGACTAGAAAAGTGTACATGCTTCTCTCCCCCAACACTATTACTCTTTAAGGACCTGACCTCTCTTCCCTCCCTCCGTTTTACAACAGGAAGACCTGAGTGATTCTGCTTCCACTTTCTTCCTAACTAATCTTCCCTATTCCATTGCCCAGCTTCTCAGAGTGCATTGGCTTGCATCTGCACTTCCATGTAGATGTTTCTCCAGGTTCTACTCTACTTCTTTCCACTGTTACCCTTTCTGATCCCAAGGGCCTCTGGCTCCTCCTTTGCCTTCATGCTGGGCTCCCACTCCCCACCCTTTGGTTGGGACACTCCCACACACCATCAGGTCCTGTGCCCCACTACTCTATTCTCTGGGTTCTCTTTTCAGACCAGTTCATGCAGAATCCCTTGTTCACACTCCTCAAAGCTCTCAGGTTTAGTCTGGCTTTATTATGCTCATCATCAGTCCAGGAGACCTTGTTCTCAGGCCTGGACATGCGGCTCACCTCCCCCAACTCAATTAGATGATTCCCCAGACCCTATTCTCTAATTTGTAGATCTTCTGCTTCTACTCTGTCCCTACTCTGTCACTACACTATCACTACCCCCAAGCACAATACCTCACACCCCAAAACTCTCCACTCTCCCCAACCTTCTCCCAGCCTCTGGTTTCTCAGCTGGGGGGGGGTTAGAGAAGAAGAAGAGGGAGGCCGGCCCTCCAGCTCCTCCGTTTCCAGCCTCTTTGGCCGCTCCCTCCAGCACATTTTCTCCCAGCCAAAATGCCCCTTTCCTACTAACTCCTGGACAAGTCTCCAGTTCCTGGTCCTCATGGCTCTTCCAGTCCCCACCAATCAACTCCCGGCTCCAGCTCCCCGGCCACCCTTCCCCTCCCCCAGCAGCTCCCTGACTCCACAACCACCCCCCCCCAGCAGTTACCCAGTTCCACAGCACCCCTCCCCCGCAGCAGTTCCCCATCTTTTCTCCTCCAGGCCGTCCCCCCAAATAACCTGGATCCACAAGCCCCCAAATTATCTGGCTCCGCACTCCCCAATTTTATCCTGTTTCGCAGTCACTTCCCATTCTGGAGCCCCAAACTGCACCCAGATCCATTGCAGATCCCCTCCCTGCCCGAAAAGCAGCTCCAAAAGGCCGTTCCTCACAAGCTGCCCAAGTCCCCCGTTCCGGCCCAGTCCACCGGCCCTCCCTCACCCCCTCCGAACGCCCGACCTCTCCCTCCAGTCCCTTCAGCCTCCGCTTCCCGGTCCTGGTATCCCAACTCATCACCCCCTTCCCCGGGCCCCTACGGGGCTCCCCGCCCCCCAAGTTTCCCAGTCCCCAACTCCGGGTCCCCCGGCCCCCCCCCGGGGCTGGGCTCCGCCATTGCTTCCAGCATCGCCACCGCACCGCCCCTCCCCCCCACCCCCCACCCCCAGACTCCCGGTGCTGTCTCCGGTGCCTCTACAGTCTTCCACCCTCCCGAGACTGTCTCAGCCCTAACCCCAGCCCAAGTTCGGGTGCCGTCCCGCTACTGTGTCTTCTCCCAAGCTCTTCTTTCCCCTGTGGTTGAACCGCCTGGATCCTGCCGCCTCCCGCACTCCCGGACCGGACCCCCCCCCCCCCCCCCCGCGTCGCCTGCCGCCTGCTCCCTACTCCTCCCCTCCCCCCTTCCTCTCCGCCCTCTGCCTCCAGCGCGCAATGCACCACGGGGTGCGTAGTCCTGGTTTATGTAGCTGTACGTGGACAGCGAAGGCCCGTGTTACTACAATTCCCAGCAGCACTAGTCACTGCGCAGGCGCACCGCTTTCTCCTCTTCCTCCAGCTCCGGGGAAAGGAGGAGCTAAGGGATTGGGGGTTGGGGGGGGAAAAAATGGACCGCATGGGCTGTTGGGAACTGTAGGCTGGGCGGGACCGCAAAGAGAAAGGAAGAGGGAAACTTAGCTTCCGGCCACCTTACCGCCTCTCTTTGCTACTTCACCACTAGTCAAGGGCGCTTCCGATCAGGCGGAAGCAGAGACTGCTGGGAGACATGATTCTCGTCTTGGTTAGCTTGAGCTAGAGCGCTTTCCCCTTTGGTCAGGTGTAACAGGCAAGGGCCCCTTCTCACACACAGATATTCTAACACTACTTGTGTTAAATATGAAGTGACAATATTGTCTTTGAACTAATTTCACACAGAGGAATCGACCCATCCTTCCCACTGTGACGAGCATAAAGAAGGAGGCAGGTGAAGATGGTCCCATTTTTCCCTTCATGGGCCCCACGACGATGGAGAGCAGAAAATGGGCAGGAGGCAAAGCAGTTAAGTTGGTGGTTTCTTTATTGATCTTCTCCACCCCCAGCCCACTCCCACCCCTCCACCCCTACCCCGTGGGAGGGAAGATGAAGGGGGTGGAGGTGAGGGGAGGAATTGTAAGAACCCAAGTCCCTTGGGGAGTTTGGGAAGGAACAGAAACCAAAACAATCAGTGAGACAAAAAGAAAATGGGAATTGACAACCAAGAGGAGATTGGGGGACGGCTGGAGGGAAGAGAGGAAGAGGCAGAAAAGGTTTAGATCCAAGGGAGAGAAAAATCAAATAGAGACATTGGGGGGGGCCTCCTCTACCCTTGCCCTCCCCAACTCCAGCCAGAATGGGCTGAGGGAAAGAGAGTCTTAAACATTGCAAATTGCAGGCCTTGACAAGAGGTGGTGGTGTTTGTCTTCCAGCAGGGAGAAGAAACTTCGGAGAATGGGGTAGTTAGGTGATAAGGAGGGGAAGAGACAGGGGAACCCTCACTCTTCTTAGAGAAGGGCCCCCCCACCCAGGGGTGGCAGGCAGCTTCACAGACCATAGACACTTTCGTCGCTGTAGGCAATGTATAGAAAGAAGTCTTCTTCATGATGTTCCTAGGGTAGGGGGACAATGTTGGCATGAAGGTAATCTGCCCATGAGTAGATCAAGTTCCTTAGAGACCCATACATCCCAGCTTGCTCCAGGAAAGTTGCTCAAAATTACCTACTAACAGCTGCTGAGACATAGGACTCAGGAAAGGAATAGCTAATGGCTGCTCCAGCCACAGGACATAATTAACCTTTCCTGCCCACCCTTTCAGCAATCAAAATTTCCTATTCACTTCTAAGGATTAGGATCAGAGTTGAGTGGGAAGCCAACTAGTTACCCAACCACTGCTGGTACTTTCTCAGCAATTTTACCAGAGCTAGGAAGGCAGTTGTTTTCTTAAAGCCCTTTCAGGGATTTTCTCCCACTACCCCCCTCTTCATACCTGGTAAAGCTGACCCATGGTGGCGCTGGTGGGTGGAATGACATTGTTGACAAAGAAAAATAGGGCGTCCTCAGCTCGGAGGTGAATTCGCTTCCGGATCAAGAAGTAGAACTGACCAACTATAAGGAATATTGGGAGGAGGGGTTGTAGAAAACTAAAGTCACACTAGAGATCAGAGTAAGGCCTCAGGGGCTCATAGAAAGGAGCTGTCTACTTTGTGCCTCCAAGTGACATTCAGCCTACCATTTCCCCACCCATCAGTGCCACCACCATGGATCAGCTTATTCAGTAGTTCCCACCTGTAAGATCAGAAGGCACCAGGTATTTCTTCTTGTCCAGGTCACCTATCCGGGCCTTAGGAGCTTTTTCCACAATCACCTGGGGGAAGCAAAAGAGAGGGTACATAGGTCAAAAGGCTATTAGGACAGTATCACTGTGCCTTCCAGGTAAAGCCTTTCCTTTCCCACCTTTCCTCCTCTCACTCCACAGGTTTCCTGGAGTCTGATTTTGCCTCCCCTAACAGCTACACTCTTGGAAGCCCTGACACTAGGAATGAAGGTGCCTTACCAGTAAAAGGACCCTCTGACCCCATTTTTTTCCCTAGGCTTCCCAGTAATTAGAATCCAAAAATGTAAAGGAGTTCGTGAATCTCGCTTTGAAGGAGCAAGAGTTAAATGACTAAGTGTCAGAAGTAATAAATGTGTAACAAATATGTTAAATTGCAGATGGAATTTCAGTGCAGGCACAAGTTGGATTCAGAGGTCCCTTTTAACTCTGAGATTCTGTATCCTAGGTGTCCAATAGTCAATAATCCTCGACAGCAACCCTTGTAGTGATCCTATTAGAACCTAAAATAATTTCTGTCTTAGAACCAAGTAGAGCTTTATGAATAGATGTCCTAGGATTCCCATTCTCAGTTCATCAACCTATCCTGGAACCCTGGATGTTTGTGTGAAATAGGTAAGGATCTCAACTCATATACACTGGCACCAACTCAGTCTCGGGAGCTCAGACTACCACCAATTTCTTAATATCTAGCTCACCTTAGAAACTCGGCTCTATTCCCTCTGATGTCTTTTTCGGCTCCTAAACCACACCCACAAACTAACACCTCCCCCGACTCCTTTCCCAGCTCTCCAGGGCTGCCTTTACAGATGGGGGAATTCCCTTCCCGGGCCCGGGAAGGCCCCGCAGCCTCCGGCCTCCCACAGTCCAAATCCTGCGCATCCCTAGGAGCCCCAGCTCTGGTCTACCTCCCGACATGCACAACCTGGCTCCGCCAGGAAGAGTATAACGTCCGCCCTGCCCTGCCGCGCCCCGCCTCACCGGGACCCGGTCGGGATATTTCTTGCGGATCTTCTCGCCTTCAGACCGGCGCTTCTCGAACGGGTGCTCCTCCTTGTAAACGAACTTCATCCTCCCAGGGACCGGGCCGGGATGGGCTAGGGGGAGCGGGGGAGGGGGGGGCGGATGGGGCCGGGGCGGGGGGCAGCGGCGACGGAGACGGACGGCCGGGTGAACTCACTCGGCGGAGAGATCTCTGCGACCTGCGCCACTTCCCTATTCACCAACTCCGCCCCGCTTCCCCTGGCCCCACTGGGAGCCGCCCAGTCGCCCTGTATACGCCAACGGCGCAGGGGGGGGCGGGGTCTCCTACGCGGCGGGCGCAAGAACCGTCCACCTCGCCTCCCTCTTACGCTACTGGAGCAACCGCTTCGGAACGGGTTTACGAAATTACGGCAACGGATTCGCTGTCCCGATGCGCACGGTGAAGGCGACTCAGACTATATTTCAGATTTCAGACGCCATGAGAGTGTGAGCAGATGAAGACTTTTTAACCACTAGGGATCCCGAAAGGAAATGGAGACAATTACGACGAGCGGATACACTAAGCATGGTGCTACGCAAAGGAGTTTGCTGATCTCAAAACAAAATAGTGCCAAGGTGGGAAAGGTATATAAAGGTCGGAAACAAGGAAGGCACCTAGGATTAACATGGAGTGCAAACAGTGCATTACCCTGAAGCAGGTGGGGCACTAGGGTCCCAAAAGACAGAATGAAGGGACGCGAATTACGTCAACACACGGCTTATAGATACGTGAGACGCCATAAAAAAGGTGGGGGAAGGGAGATGTCACGTGACAAGGAAGTGACAGTAGATCCGGCGTAAAACTGACGTAGAAGGGAGCCAATGAGGGCGAACGAACTGAGAGGAGCCTGTCAGTGCAGTCCCGCCCAGAACCCCTGTGTCGACCCTGTCCTGCTTAACTCTTATTCGGAACAGGGCACTTGTAAACATCCACCCTCTCCCTCTACCACTTCTAAATCTGACCAGCCTTTCTTCCTAATCCAGATGCACCTTAGCGTCCCCTCAGGCAGCTCTTCGCCACTATGCAAAACGTAAACTCTCCCCTTTCACCGTTCCTCTCCATTAGTCCACCAAAACTCTGTATTTACCCTCCAGGGAGGATGGGGCAATAAATACCCCTTATCAGTGGCCCACCCACCGTCTTTCCCAGGATCCCAGAGATGGGGCCTGGGCAGCTTCAATTTCAGTTATAATGCATGGTTCAATGGGGATGGAAGACCTGGGTTGGGAAGAGGCAGAAGAAGATGGTTGTTACAAGTGGGAAAGGGAAGAGAAGGAAGAGTTGGCAATATGTTGGGAGGGAGGGTAGAAATCAGTGGGCTGGACGAAGCCCTGGGCTCCCCTCCCAAACCCACCCCTCAGAATAGCAGTGAAGAATTAGATCTGTTTTTTACAAGAGTTTTTAAAAAAAAAAATCAAATCACAACAGAGCTGGTTTAGCATCTGTCTGACCCTCCCAGGTCAGTCTCTCCCTACCTCTGATCAGTCTTTCACCCCTGACATGGGGGCTGTTTTGGCCCTCCCAGGCCACAGTCTGTATCCCAACCTGGAGTTTCCAGGGAGTGTGTGAACATAGTGAGGCTGTTTCAGTATCTGGGCTTGTATGTCCATCTGGCCTCCAAGTGGAGTGTAGATGGCCCAGGCTAGGCAGTCCTCAGAAATGGGCAGGGGATGGAGCAAGCAGCCCAAGGGCTCTCCCTCCTTTCCCGTCCTCCCCACCCCGCTCCATTTGTGTTCGTGGGGGGTGGGGGGGGTGGGGAGAGTGGCTGTCACCAGAGCCGATGTTGGTGAAGGTTTCGGCTCAACACAGAGCGGACGTCGGCAGTGAACCTGGGGTAGGGGAAGAAGGGAATAGTAGGGCATAAACATTCACCCACTGACAAAGAATTCAGGATCCCTAGGTCTCCTTTTCTTCCAGTCTCTAATTTCCTCAAGAACAGAACAGTAACAAGAGACATTTTATATAGTGTTGTTAATGTCTACAAAGTACTTTACATAAATTATCTCATTTGATCATAACAGAACAATCCTGTGATATAAGTACTACAGATATCCCCATTTTACAGATGGCTGGTTAAGGGACTTGCCTGTAATCACAGAGCTACAAGTGTTGGAGGTGAGATTTAAACCCAGGTCTTCCTGACTCTAAGTCTAGCATTCATTCCACGCTACCTCTCCAGTACCCAGACCCAAGTATCCAACCTCGGCCTTCTCACCTGAGGGCATCCAGCATAGGGAGCAGGTTGAGGAGTGCTGTGTCACTGGGGTCACTAAACCAGGATTTGATTGGGATGGCATTATCTGGAAATAGGGATCAAGAAAATAAGATTGAGCAAGTTTGAAAAAATAAACTATTAACTACCAAGCATTTGCCTTACAAACACACTGTGAGGCAATGCATTATCAGCTTTATTTCATAGATGAGAAAAAGGGCTCATAGTTTAAGTGACTTACCTGAGGTTAGACAATTAAATATTTGAACAAAGAGCTAGTATTTCAAGTCCAGTGGTCTTTCTAATTTACCTCTTCCCTGAATATCCTTTATTCAATATATGGAAATTAGCTATATTTTATAGCTCAGTTTAATCATAGTTTGATCACAGGAAGCTACTGGACAATTAGGATCTATTACAATTAAATTGCTACATTTGAAAATGCAGCTTTGTAAAACAAATTTAGGAGAGTTTAGTCTACAAAAGAATTTGTCACAGTATTCTTTTTAAAAGCGTCCTCCCTGATTGCATTTAGAACAATTTGACTCAAACTTTGTAAGCATACTGTATTAAGCAAAAGATCAATAAATTTGAACCTCTTATTGGTACAAGATTAAAACAAAAGCCTCTCTCCCAAAGTGCTTTTACACCACTCTGATTTATTCCTACAACAGTGATCTGAAGAAGAAGAGCAGAGAAGGATAAGTCTGCCAATTTTATAGAGGTTACACCCCTAAGTCAGTCAGTGACTGAATATAGTACCCATCATGCCTCCCCTGGCCAATTTCTAGGGCTTCCCTTAACCCCCCCTACCTGGATGGCTCCTATAGGCTCCTGGGGAGTTATCCAGGATCACAATGCTGGAAAGGTCACTGTGAACCACAGAGAGGTCCTTGATGTAGCTGCCCAACTCCAAAGTGCAGTGCTGGGAGGTGGTGTAGACAAGGGCATTAGCTAAGAAGAGACAGACTCCCTCTGGGGGTGGTTCTTCAAATCCCAACCTGCCCCAGATCTTTAGCTGTTCTCACATTCTAATGGTGCTGCAGAAAAAGGGAGGGAAGCCACCTCCCTAGCCCTTTAACCTAATGAAAGGGGCTGTATTAGCAATGTTATCTCCTTGCCCGAAGACCTATAGATCTGCTCCCCCCACCCTCAAGGATATTAGTATCTGGGCTCCCAAACCCTATTTTCTTAAAAAAAAAAAAAAAAAAATGGAGAACAGGCCCCTTACCTGTCTGTAGTATCGTCTCTTAAGTATGCTCCGGCTATTGTCCAACTTGTCAGCCACAGCTGAACCGTAAATTTCCATGCTTGCTGTAAATACTACCAGCTCATACCACTGGCTCACCTGAAGGGAACGGAAATGGAAAGCTATCACAGACTGAGAGGCTCACATCATCTCTATGAAGCAGGTACCAAACCCACAATCCCTGGTTATGTCTTTCATTCTTTTTGAGAATCAAAATATCCTGCCCCCAAATTCAAAAGGGTAAAGATAGAAGGCTCAAAAATAAACAGAAGTTCATGGCAATGGCTGGAGTTGAAGAATAAGACCACAATAAAACCACCCTTACTCATTTCCATCCATTCCTATATTGCCTTTGCTCCAAGTCTCCTACATACAACTAACCTCCATCCTCACCCTCCCCAGATCCCAACACTCACTCCATAGTCCCAATCCTTTACAGCTCCTAGATTCTGAAAATTATTTTTTTCTTTTCTAAAACAACCCCCCCAATCCCCTCGAACTCCCCCAAGACTTACCACTTCTAAGAAGAAGTCCACATGGGGCCTCTTATGTACAAAAAAACGGACAGGATGTTTGTCTATTACGACCTGTGGGGGGGGGGACAAGGACGGGCTTGGGAGGAAGCCCTACTAGCATCCCCTCCCTGTAGAGACTTTTGCCCCACCAGGTTTACCCTAGTCCCAAGGGACAGGGAACAGAAACCCCCAGGAGAAGGAGTTGAAGGAGAGTAAAAGGTGATGGGGGCATGGAGAGGAGAGGGCAGAGTAGTGGCATATACATCCATCCCATTCACCCTCAGACCTTGAGGATGAAGTCAGGAGGTGTTCCTGGTCGAACTGTAGGCCTGAGGACCCCATCATGGTGGGAGTGAATAAGAGTTTCATCCAAATCCAGCACTAGTATCTTTCGCTTTACCTGGGCTAGAAGCAGAGGGGGTTGGGGTAGGGGGGAGAGAAGAGAACTTTGTTCCAGAGTCCTTTGGCTTCTCCAAGGCATTTACTAGTGGCTGACCTTCAGGCTCCATCCATCCTACTCTCAGTTTTAATCTTTGATGCTTTCCCAAGGTTCCAGGTACTCACCAAGCCGGTTTCGGGACACAGGGGATAGAGGAAGGATGTCATATCGAACAGTCTGATACTGAATTATCTGGAGGCAACAAGAAGAAGTATAAGGACTTTTGACTAGAGGAAACCCTTTCCAAATAAGAGCCAGGCACCCATAAAGTTCTACCCTAGCCCACACTATATCCCAAGGGTGTTTTATAGCAGCTGTTATTATTGTCTTATCATTGTAGACTGAAATGGAGTTAGATACTTGGGTCTCTGATCCCTGAATAGGGTCAGTTGGAATGACTATTCTTCTGAGGTATAGAGCTGAGGACTGGGAGGAATTCCTGGGTCTGAGGGGGAATGAGGGTCTAACTGGGGATTGAAAGGTCAGTCCCTTAGAGTGTGTCTCACCTGGGCCTATGCATATTCAGAGATTGTCAGGTCAGTTTAGTTCTCCAGGCCAAGGGCCATGAAGCCTATTTTAACCAGCCACCTGTCCACTTCCATCATCACTAGCAGTCATGGGTTACATAGGACCTTGGCCCCCAAGACAACTCTCCCTAGGTGCTCAGTCTAATTGCTGAAAGCCCTAATCTTTTAGGCAGATTTGACTGGTTATTAGAAAGCCTAAAACATTAATTTCCAAGGAAAGTTGAGACAGATCCATCTCTCCTCCCTCTCCAATCTCAAACTTTCTGCTCTTTCCCCCCCCGTCCCCGCTCAGAACTATACTAATTCCTAGTTCTCACAGAACCATAAATTAAGAGCTGGAAAGAATCAAGCCCCTCTCTCTACATAAGGAAATTAAGGCTCAGAGGGGTTAAGTGATTTGTCTCACACAGCTACTGTGAGGTTTGAATCTTGAGGTGTGATTTGAACCCAGGTCTCCACTACAGAAGCTCAAATACCCCACCCTACTGAGGCCCAAAGCCCTCTTGGATTGATGTCCTTATTTACCTGACTCCAGATCTTACTTCCTATAGGAACCCAGACTTCTTGACACAGGTGTTTTCTAAAAATCCAAGTGTCTTAACCCCCCATTTCCATGATATTTCCCCATTCTCTGTTCTCTCCACCCCAGGATACAGCATGATTGTTGACAGATGACAGCTAGGGCACCCTACACTATCTTGGACTGCATATGCTAAGCATGTAGGGAAATGCTCTAAGCAGCTGCCAATAGAAAGAGAAGGGGAGCTGCCTGGAAATGGGAGGACTTTGGAATCTGGCTTGGCTCTGGGATATAGACCAACAGCAGATAATTTTGGAGGTCCCTATCCCCAGTACCAAGACAGACTGGAATTCCTCCTCCTATACCTGGGATAAAATGAAGCATGGGTTTGGAAAGAAGAAGAGGATGTAGGCCAAGGTCAAGTAGAAAGATATCTCAGGAGAATAGACCTAGTGAGGTAGGGATAGTAAAAGTAGTAATGGTTCCCATTTATATAGCACCTGTTTGAAAATAACTTCACTATTCTGTGAGGTAGGTAGTATACTCCCTATTTTCAGGACGTGGAAATTGAGGCACAGAGGTTAAGTGATTTGCTCTAAGGAGTCATATAGCTATTGTCAGAGCCAGGAATCCAACCCCCAACCTCAAATTCCCTGTCCCCTACTTCTCTTTCTCAATCCTAGCTCTCTTAAGAGGTTCAAGGGTTCAGACCTTAAGGATAGTGTTGGAAACCCTCTCAATACCCTGCGACAGGAAAAAGATAAATTAAAGGTTAAGCCCATGGCCTCAAACTGAAGGGTCCATACACCCTAAAATCCAAGGGATGGGGCATTCCTAAAAGTCTGTTGTTTTACTTGGAATTTCAGTGAAAGTTGTGGGGCCAATTTAGGGACTCTTCTACATCTGCCCTCTGTGCCCCTAAGTTCGCCCTTCCTAGAGGATTTTTCTCCTATGAGGATGAAAATAAGCTGGAGTAAAAAGCTAAAGTCTGATAAACTATATCTTAAAGTTACGGAGATAATTCACCCAAATATTTCCATGAAGCAATGGGCTGCAGTAGGCTCTTCCTCTCAGCTTACATGTATACAATCACACGCTAACACTCTCTCTGGTTCTTCCAACTAAGGGATCATTCATGCTTCAACTAGCAGACATCCAATTCAAAGTATCACTCAAGTCCAACTAAGATTTACAGATGAGGAAAACTACCACCCAGGAGACTCACCAAAATGTCATGCTACACACACCTTCATACTTCAAACTTTTCCTAAAGGTTTTTTAAGTCTCCTCTGGCAAGAGGCTCTCTTTACCCTCATATTTTTGCTTAAACTCCAGGTCCTTTTCCACAGGGGTCTCCTTCAATTCTAACTTCACAATGGCTCCTCCCCTTTGCAAACGTGACTCAATTCTTGTTACAAAAGGTTAGTCGAAACTTAAGGACCCCTTATATACACAAAATTTCCACAGAAGAGTCCCTCCACCAACCCAGATCCCTAGGTAAAAATCAGGGTCTTCGAAAACAATTAGTTTATTTATAGAAACCCTCCCCTATACCAACAAGTCCTACCCCTTAAACAAATTTCGGGGCCTTGTCAACAGGGCTCTCTATGAAGTACCCTTCCTTCAAATTCCTACCCTACTGAAGGAAAGTCTCAACCAGCTCAAGGGTGGAGGCCATCTCACAATATACATGCTTACCCAACTCCTGTCCTAGACCCAACGAGAGTAGCCCACCAATTACTCCGGATTGCTTTTCCCGATCCCCCCAAAATCCAGCGGGGGGGGAGAGAGCTCCAGCCGGCTTGCTGACACCCCAGTCTCACCGTTCGGACCTGTCTCCGAAGAAGGTACAGGCAGAAGCTCCAGAGCTTGGCAGCAAAGGCCACGAAGGTGCGCAGACCCAGGAGACATTGAGTCCTCATCATCCCGACGCCCCTGGCCCTGATGGCCCTGGGGGCCCCGGGGCCCGGCTCAGCCAGGCCCCCAGGGGGCAGTGCCTCCCCTTCCCCCTCCCGCTGTTGGGAGGGGAAAGGTACGGGGTTGAAGCACTGGAAAGCTACAGCTAGGACACGGGGGGGGGGGATGCAGCTCAAGGAGGTCTCCCCCAAAAGGGAGAAATATCCCCAAGGAGTAATAAGAGAGGTATGGCAAGTCCTTAGGGACCCGCGGGAGGAGCACCCTAAAAGAAGGGGGGAAGATACGCGTTAAATGGGGGTCAGAGATTTTAGGGTAGGGTCCTTGGACGGAGAGGGAAGGGGGCAGATGGGGAGGGGGGAAGAAGAGGGAAGCCCGCGACGCAGGCGCACTAGGTGGCTGAGTGCAGGAAAGCCGGCGGGAGGAAGGGAAGGGCTGGGCGAGCAGGGCGCGCGGAGCTGGGAATGAGGAAGGAGAAAGAGAGAGAGCGGAAAGAGGGGAGGGGGAGCCACGGAGTATGAGGCGCGGGCCTGAAGCTGGTCTCCCCCCCCCCCACACTCGGGGGATGCCTTAACCGCTCGGAAGCAGGGCCGCTGCCTCTGCCGCCACATCCCCGAGCCTGACAGGCGCCATTTTACCGCCTAGAGTCCTCCCTCTCCCACTTTCCTCCTCCTCCCTTCTGACGTCACTTCCGGCGACCCACCCACGTCCAGCAATGGCGGTAGAAGCTACATCCGGACTCATCTACCCACTTTCCTCCCATCCGGCTGTACTGCGCAAGCTCCTGAATAAAAGTACTAAATCACTCCCCGGAAAGGAACTGGGAGGGAGGGGGAGGGTGGGGGTGGGGCGGAAGGTGGATCTCAGTGGAAGGGGATTGGTTCCTCCTCTACCCCACCGCCGACTTTTAGTGAGGCGGAAATCAGAGAAACGCGCGGGACTATAGGAATGACGTATTCTCAGGCTGTGGCCTAAATCTTTGCTTTTTAGCATATAGTAGTGTGGTGCGCACGCGCCGCCCCTCCTCCCACCATCTAACCTCAACTGCCCCCCAACGGCTTTTCACGTCCTTCCGCGTGACCTACTGCGATGCACCCCTCCCCCTCTCTCTTAAAGAAAAGCAGCGCGGTGAAAAGTCAGGCGACTTCTTATGTCTCTACGTTTGGTTGTACTCCGTCCTGTAATAACTTCCGTTCGTGGGCAATCCGGCAGGAGGCTCGAGGATCCCTCCAATACTTCCTCGCACCCTTGAGTTTTCATTCTTCAGGCCCGCCCCACACCAAGTCCCATTTCAGATTTCTAAAAATCACTGTATAGTCAGATCAGGACCCCTGTCTTGCCTGGGCACTGCCTCCGGCGCCGAAGCTAACCGGTGACGTCACAATGCGGGCTCAGACAGGCCTCTGAAAGGGCCAGGGAAGGGGGGGGAGTGGTTAGGGAATCGGTCCGCCCACGCAGGCGTCCGAATTCTGTGACGCCATCAGCACGCGACCAGCCCGCTGGAAGGAAGCCAAGTACGAAACAAAAATGCTTCAGCCGCTCCCGGCCAGTGGCGCCCTGGGGCGTCTACGCGGTAACGGTGCTGGCGAAAGAGCAATGAGGAAGAGAGGTAGGAGGCGTGGTGAAGTGGGCCGAAAAACCTGGGACTTCGGGCACAGTGATCTCGGTTTGAGGGGCAGAGTTTAGGAAGGGGCTTTGGCATTGGAACTTAGGAGAGCTCTCGTTTGGGTGTGGGAACTTTGACTCGACTCGCTGGGGTGGGAGTGCTACAGCCTGTTTTAGGAAGTAACCCCGAGGTGAGCGTCAAAGTAGCTAGCCTCTCTCCCACGCTACTTTGGGGACTCAGGCGACTGGACTCCCTCACCCCTCTACCTTAAGGAACTCTCTTGAAAGCCTACCTTGTGTCTTTTGCAGAGGGAGGGAGGTTGAAGTCTTGGGTTGAGGTGATGGGAAGAAGCATTCAAAGAAGGTTTGGACTCGGATACCCACAGCGGGTGAGAGAAGAAGCAATACTTGAGTGGAGGGAGTAGTGCCCCTCCCATTCATTGCTTCCCCTCCCCCCTCAGTTCATTCATTGAAGGAAGATTTGGGAAAAAAAGCAGATTGAAGTAAGTAGAAAGGCAGTAATAAGATTCAGGTAGAATCTGACAATTACTCTGAAACAGAAATAAAAGAAAAAAAGGCAGTATGCCAAAGCCAGACTACCAAACTATACTAAAACACTTATATTGCACCTACTGAATGAAGTCTAAGCTCCCGGTGCCCAGCCAGATCTTTTGACCCCGTGCATAATTGGCTTCATCTTATGTATACAGCTCCCTGACACGTGCCCTCCATTTAATTCAATTTAGTATTAGTATACTTTTCATTGTACAATGTTCCCATTAATTCGTGTCTACCTCAGTTTCCTCAACTTGTAAAGTGAGGACAGTAGTAGCACTTCATAGGGTTGTTGTAAGGATCGAATGAGATTATATTTGTAAAGTACTTAGCCTAGGACCTGCTTACTAAATGCTCTTTCCCTTCTCTCCCCCTTTCCCCCATTTCTGTGACTTTGATCATGCTGGAACCCCTGTCCAGATACATGAAGTTGCCTCCAGCCCACACTGATCTCTCTTTTCTGTTCTTCTATTGCATTAATACTAAATACCCCAAATTTTAGTTTTAAGTGCTGTATTTATTCAAATTATATTTAAGAAGCTTGTTTCTCCCAGTGCCCGCTTTTTCTTCTGACTTTTTTGTATCTGTCACAGTACTGATGATTAATAGGCACTCATTAAATTTGAGTTGGTTGATTGGTTAACAAAAGTATGGAAGGCTACAGATAAGGGAGCTCCAGACCTAGCTTAGAATTGGGGAAGAAAATGGTTGAAAGAGGAAGGCTATAGGAGGTGGAGTGGGGAATAGTCAGTCACAAGCAAAATTAGCTTTCTGATCCTTAAAGAGAGAATAAAAGGGGATAGATAAATATAAGGGGGTATCTTAGATTGCCTCTTAGGTAATTGGGGATTGACTGAACAAATTGTGATTCGTAAATGTAAGAGAATATTATTACATTCTAATAAATTATGAAAGATTATTATTTGTATATCAACTAATGTAGAGTGAATTGAGCATTACAAGGACAACGAGATTATAAAGAAAACTTTGAAATGTTTAAGAATTCTGATTAAAGCAGTGATCAGCCATATCTCTGGAGAAACTAAAGCATATTTTACCCACTTCCTGACCGAGGTGATGGACAGAAGGTACAGACATGCATTTTTTGATGGCCACTGTGTAGATTGATTCATCTTACTTGCTTTTGCTTATTTATTAAGGCTTTTTAAGTTGGAGGGCAGTGGGAGTTAGCAATAAATATGCAAAAGAGGGCCATTGTAACACTTCAAAAATATGCCAAAAAAACCAGAAAGCACAAATAAGTAGGACAATTTTGAAAATAATATATAGAATTTATATGCTTTTTTTTAAGCAAGAGGTATTAAATGGAGATTTGGGGTTTCATAAAGAATTCTTTTGTGTTCTTGTATATTGAAATGCTTTTTAGTGTTTAGGTTCAGAATTTAATGGTTTTTGTCCTTTTCTACTCTTCCCTTGTAAGCTTCTTTACTACATGTCTTCAGAGACCCACTTGTGCTGGGCAAGGAGTGAGGCCTTGAAGCCTTGAGATCATTTCTTGGAGGAGAGGACCCTGACCTCCGCACCCTTGTTTTGGATTTGATGGCCATCTGTTGTTTCTTGCTCCTGGCAGCTTCCTTCCTCTTCCATATTCTGTGGTCTCTGGGCCATGGGAACCTCATATCCATCTTGGTGAGAAACCTTCATTCTCCCTTATTTTCCATACTTCATCCCAAATCAGCCTGCCATGAATAGGGTCCTTCTTTATGTTTTGCATGATTTCACATGTATAATTTATATCATATTACTTGCCTTCTCAAGGGCTGGGGGTGGGAGGGAGAAAATTTGAAATTCAAAATTTTTAAAAATGTTTTTAAAAATTTTAAATGTAATTGGGAAATATTTAACAAAATAAATAATATATCTGAATACAACAGGCCTTTCCCATTCCTTTTGTTGCTTCTCTTTTTTCCTCTTAGCCTCTTCTTCCTGGTCCACCCTGTTTTTCTCTACTCCTATTCTCAGTTCAATCCTTGCCCTAATGTATCCTACTTTACATAATGCCCTTAGTTCACTCATATCCTGTTTGCCTTTCCCCCAGCCTTTCTTTTCCCATTGTATGACAAGTTTGTGTGGTAGAACTGCTACATGAAGACATTCATGGGTTAGGTCTCTTGGGTATCTTGAATATTCTGGCTTAGTCTGAAGTGACAAGATAAAGGTGGGCCTTTGGGAGGCTGTTTGTCCAGTGTTTGTTAGGAGTAGGATTAAAGGATGAGGAAGAAGAGGTAGAAATTATGTAGTTATGAAGTAAGGAAATAGAGTGAATTTGAGAAAGTGTGGGGATGGGGGTGGAACCAGCTAGCCACAATTTGATTCTAAGTACCTCTCTTCCGTTCTTTTAATCCTTTTCTTCCTGATTCTTTTCATTTAGATTCATTAGTTCTCCATCCTGTCCAACTTTGGTATAGGAATTCCTAGTCCTACTGAAGAAGCCCCTCAACCCCAGGGCTGCTGTGGGATGTATCCAGTTTCTACAAGTTCATGCATTTGAACAGGGAGAGCTTAAGGAAGGCTGGTGTCTAGATAGGTAAGGGGTGATATCCTAGGAGTTGGAGAATTAAAGCATTTGGAGGTGGGAAGGTTAAACTAAGGATCTAAAGGATGGGACAAGTTCTCAGTATCCTCTGCTCCCATAGGTGTGGATTCCATGAGATTTGCCCTTTAAGCTCTGCTTGTCCCAGAAGAAAAGGGAAGCCTGGAATGTCCTGACTCTGCCCTTCCAGTTCAGTTTGGAAAAGTAAGGCTCCTTAAGAATTGGGACTGTGGGGGGCAGCTAGATGGCACAGTGGATAGAGCCCTGGCCCTGAAGTCAGGAGGACCTGAGTTCAAATCTGGCCTCAGACCAAACACATGACACTTACTAGCTGCGTGACCCTGGGCAAGTCACTTAACCCCAATTACCCAAAAAAAAGAATTGGGACTGTGGAAGTAAGACTGTGGCTGTTAGGGATATCTGAGTCTCAAGCAGTGGGGAATTAAATTAATAATTGCTAGCATTTGTAGTACTTTTACATTTTGCAGAATTCTTTACATATGTTAGATCAACAACCCTGTGAGGTAGGTGCTATTGTGATCCCCCTTTTACAGATGAGCAAACTGAGTTTGGGAGAGTTTAAGTGACTTGTCCAGGGTCACACTGCTAGTAAGTGTGTGAGGCTGGCTTTGAACTCAGGTCTTCCTGATTCCAAGTCCAGCACTCTCCATTGAAACCACCTAGCTCCCTAGAGTAAAAGTTACTGATTAACCTCTCAAACCTTTATAGGGACTAAAGTCCTTTCCTAGCTGATGACATGTCTGGGGAGTGGCTTTACCACTGCTCAGAGATGGGTAAGCAAGAACTGAGGAAAAGGAGTTTGAAGTCTTCATGAGAGTTCCATTGTTCTATTTGTAACCCCCGACTCCCACCACCATAGAATTCTTGGAATGCGACCGGGGGCTGGTCACTTGGGAAAAAGGAGACACAATAACAACAAACACTTACACCACCTTCTTGGGAAGCTCCAGATAGAGTGGAGATTGAACACAGACTGACAGGTGTTCATTAAATACCTGTTGCATTATGTGGCCACTAGGGGAAAATAAGCTTTAGCAGAACTACTGTTCCTCCAATCACGTTGAGGAGATAAGACATACCCATAACAATATTACAAGTGTTACCAGATTAGAAGGGACTGAAGGAATAGCCCTGGAGGAGCATCCTGTGTAAAGTTTTGAACATCCCTTTATTCTAACACTGTGCTTTTTTTCTCTTTAGGCAGCAATCCTTGCTTTATCCTACCCTAGCCTCTTCTACCAACCTTATATACATATATTTTATGGGTCTAATTATGATGACTACCTACCTAGAAGATTCAGACAATGACCTGGATATCTGATGGTGCTCATGGACTGACTATGTATGAATCCTGACTAACCTTGACCTACTACCTGCAGCTATACAGTATACAGTCAACACTTCAATTTGTAGATCATGTTCTGAAATCCCTGTGTAAGCCACAAAGTGATATAGTTAAAATTACCCTTGAAATGACTCATAAAATACATTATAGTATCTTTAAACAGTTATAGCTGGAAAGGAGCTAGGGTCTCTTTGAAGGAAGGCAGTCTCTATCAGAGAGTGAAGAAACTGAAGTTGTTACTATAGAAACAATTGAAAATAAATTTTATTTTTCACTATATTCAACTTAACTATTGGGCAGGAAAGTACCTGGTCTCAGAAGAAAAAAAGGTACGTTCTTAACTAGTAATGAAAACCAGTGGCATGGAGAAAACATACTCTTGAAAGGGCTTTATACATAAGTGTTATTCTATTAAAAGTGGACCTTTTCTTCTTTCTTCACCACAAGGAAGGCCAAGGGAATACTGACCAGAAACCCTAGGAAAGGTAACCATGACTACCCTTCCCATTAGCTCTACCAAGTTCAAGAGAAGGGATTGTAGGTGTAATGAAAAGGAGTCACTAGAGTCACCCTCATTCCATGGCTTGTCCTCACCGGAATGGCAGATTCTACCTGTACCATTTAAATTGTTTTTCTCCCCCTTTTTAGTAAGTTTAATTGAATCAAGGCAGATTATGTATGATGAGACTCATATAGCATCTGCCTGACATTTGCATAGGACCTGTTAGGACTGGAAGATACTCATCTTGATACCTTTTTACCTTCATCCTTCATCCTTGTCTACATCTTTTTTCAGATATCACTGACCTGCATCAGTAGGGTAACTCCTCCCTAGGGAAAGAAGTAGAATGGGCTGCGTCTAGTGGGAAATTTCGTACCAAAAAAATGCATTTTTGCAGAAAGCTAGAAAATGAGGATATATATGAGAGAGCTAAATCTCTTGACCCTTGTGAAGAATAAGCCATGAGAGCCTAGGGTTGGGGAATAGTCTTGGAACTGGGTCCAAAGTAATTCAGGAGAACTTAGAAAGAATTAGGTACTGAATCAACATAAGAATGAGGCAAGCACTGGGATAGGTATGAAAGGTAACTGACATTTATAAATGTATAAAACCTCAGATGGGAATAGAGGCTGAATACCTTAGGAAAAGGATAGCAGGGGCTGGATAGAAGTGAGTGAGAGAGGACAGGTGTCGGATGTCTGGCCCCAGTGGAGAATAGCCAAGGTCCAAAACACAAACTTCTTTATTATTATACAAAAAGAACAGCTTGTAGCCTTTACCCCCCACCTCCTCTTCCCCATTCCCCTGGTCTTCCAGTAGACTACATCAGTAGTAGTTAGAAGAGCCTGGAGAACTCTGCCTTCCCCCTTCCCCACTGGCTCAGATTTCTCTTCTAGTCTCCTCCTCACCCCTTCCCATCTTGAATTATATTTCAGGCCCTGACCTTTAAGGGCTGGGGTGAGGGGGGATGTGTAGGAAACCCAGCTCTTTCAGACATACTCCTTAGCGGAATTGGTCTTGGGGTAGGAGCGTGGGGTGCGGTACCCTGCTTTGCTCTCTGTAACTGGGCAAGAACAAGAGAGGAGCCCACCCCCCAAGATAACCAGGGCAGAGCCAGCCCAGCCGATGAAAATGGCAGAGCCAAATTCGTACCTGTGGAGAGAGGCAGAGTAGTTTTATGATCAAAAGTATCCAGTTACTTGACCCATAAGCCCTAAGGACTCTGTCATTCCTGCAACACTCCCATGATTTCCTGTTCCCATTTATGACCCTAGGCACCTAAATAGAGTCCAATACTTACTTAGTATTTGTAGCGACCCTTGGATCATAAAAATCTGTTACAATCTGGTGGCCGTACCAGGAACAAGCAACGAGGGCAACAAGACCTGATCGGAAAGGAATAATGGATTCAGAGATCTTCCCTTAAGCTACTACCCCACTTTACAAATCCTTAAGAGTCTAAAAACAGGAGGTTATTTGTCCAGGTTTCCCCTGGACAAAGTCCCAGATCTAAAGCAATACTACTAGACTGTCAGCAAGCGGGGATAGGAGAGGGGAGATGGGGCTTCAGGGAGAGGAAACCTAGTCTTAGGGTATGGGGAGAGAGACAAGGACTGCTTACCAGCCACAATGAAGATTATACCGCCTGTCATGGCAATTCGAGCCTTCTTCACCTTATCATCACCCCCACATCGTGTACACTTCATGCCCATGGCAGCCACCATCATAGCCAGAAAGCTCAAAACCAGGGATATCACCATTAGGGCACGGGTAGCCTGTATGAAACCTGGAAAAGGGAAGAAGGCTTATTGTCATTGCCTTTAGTTAGGGAGAGCAACAAGTCCTATAATTTATTGGTAGAGAGAACTCCCCAGGTAAGGAAATTCTATCTGCTAACCTGTACCTTTTCTGCAGCATTCATTCTTAGTGAGTTGCCTAAGTTTACACAGCCATGTTAGAGGCAGATCTTGAATCCAGGTCTTAATGGCTCCAAAGCCATTAAATCCTCTATACAACATTGCCTTGTCACCTCTACCGTCACACTTTTAATTGAGTCCCACATTATTTTTCTAGATTCATTGCTTCTTTGAGATCTAGCAAATCATTTCTAATTGTCTACTGGACAGTTACACCTGGATTTCCACTAATACTTCAAACTCCAATTATACTATAAGTGAAATTCATCACCTTTCCCCTAAAAAACCTCCCTGCCCCCAAACAGTTGCCAAGTTCTGACAATTTTACTCCATCAATGTTTTTCCCACCCAGTCTTCGAATACACTGCTTCAACTGTAGTTTAGCCCCTCATCACCCCTCACCTGGACAATTTAATAATCTACCTCTTTACTAATCACTGCTTTCAATCTTTCCCTTTCTCTAATCTATTTTTGATTGAGGGGCCAAAATAATATTTTTCAGTGGCCCACTCGGATCACACTTCTTGTCTACTCAAAAATCATCAATTTTTCTCTGTCTACTGAATAAATTCCTGCTTCCATGCAAGATATCTGACTCCAGTCTTATTATACTTCATACAGTCTGCCAAAGGGGACGGATTATTTATCTAGTTTTGTCCTCTCTTTGACTTTTGGCTCTCCTCCCCTATTCCTTGACTGAATTTGAAATGGATTCCCATCTCTACCTTCCTTTCCTTCAAGGCCCTTCATCAATCCTGGCTCCTGAAGGACTCAAGTAAGCTCTCCCTACTCAATAGCACTTTACCTGGATCTCTTATTCACACACCTATTCTCCGTTGTTTAACTGTGTACATGCCTTCCCATCACTGTTGGGTTGTAGTTAATAGTTCACATTTATAGTTTATATAGTGCTTACTAATTTACAACTTTCCTCACAGCAACCACCCGAGGTTCCTAGTGCAAATTCTTTGAAGGCAAGATCTGTTATTTGTTTTTGTAATTGTATTTCTTGGACCCACTATTGGACCTTATTACACCCAAGTAAGGCGCTTTATTGAATAGAACGAATGCTTTAGGAGGCCAGGCACCTATTTCCTCTCGGGATCCAGGTATCCCAGCTTCCTCCATAGCGAGCAACCGTCTTTATTCCCCTCCCACTGACCCCTGTACCCTTCGGGAGTGGCTCATCTTATAGCCATCCCGCAAACCTAATCCTCATGCCCAACTTCAATATCTGGACCCCTCTCTATCCACAGGTCCCAATTTGGTTCATATAACCAGGCCTGGGCCCCCTTCCCCTAAACTCTCCTCTCTTCCTGGGGTCCAGCCAGAAGTAGCCGGATCCTTGCTCTCTCTCTTCCCCCATTCCTGCTTCCTCCTCCCGCACCTGAGCCTTCCTGTTTAGTCCCTGCCTCGCCCCGCCCGAGGAGCCTCACCTCAGCTCCTGGACAACGCCCGGGGCGCCCAAGTTTCGGCGAAACTCTCAGGGGGAGCGGCTTCGGGAAACAGAGCTAGCCCCTGCAAAGATCCCGAAGTCCAGCCTGGCCCAGGCTCTGAGTGCCGAGCCGCACCCTTTGACCTCCTTCCGGCCTTACTATCAGCAACCTCGGGTGCTAGTTACTATAGCTAATCAGGAAGATAAGATTAGAGGCTGTGGCAACCGGCTCCGAGTCGCGCAGAGACTCGGGCATTCCGGCCCCCAGTTTTCCCATTGCTCTCTAGTTCGCCGAATGCCTAAGGGACCGAAATGTTAGACTTCTAACCGTGGTTCTTCCTTCTGCTCCCACCCATGCTCAGGCGCAAAGAAACACAAGCACTCTGAATCCCTTAAGGACCTAAACTCCCACGCTAAGCCACCCTAATCATTCTACTTTCTGGCCCTCTCCTCTCAGTGGCCTCTAAGGCTCTCACTTAGTGAAGAGAAAAAAGCAGAGGAGATTGGGACCAGAGGTCGGTGGGTGAGGAGCTGGAGGGACGTCGAACTCTAAGAAGTTTTATAGCGGGTGGGGCAGGATGAAGAGCGGGAAGGGGAGAAATCGGAAGTGAAAGGGAGAGGGTATTAAATTTCTCCCCCTTTGGTAAACCCGCGTAATTTAGTGTCCTCCTTGAACACAGGATCTTCCGACCTTCTCTTTCTAGATCCATCTAGGCTTCATTCACTTCAGATGTCCCTATCCCCACCTGCCTCAGCTTTCTTCCCTCCTCCTCACCTCGGCCATTTGTCTCCTTCACATACATCCCAACTTCCCTCCAACTCCTCCCTCAACCAGGGACCTCAGGTGAGCCTTTAGCCCCTGGACCTCTAAACTTCTTCCACTGTGCCTCTCTCTCCAGGAACCTGGATCCTCTCCACCCTCACCCCAACTCCTTCACTTCCCGCCCTTCCCTCCCACCATCTTCCGTCGGGACCCAAGTGACCAATGCTCCCCAGCCTCACCAGACAGAGCGAGGAATGAGTCGTACGACTTGCAGCTGATGAGGCCGGTGCTCTGGCTGACGCAGTCCATCCATAGCCCCTTGTACAACGCTTGGGAAGTAATGATGTTGTCTCCGGCATAGGAGCTGATCTGCCACTGAGGGAGCGCGGTGGCGGCTATCAATCCCACCCACCCCAGAGCGGCCATGGTGAACCCCAACAGCTGAAGCCCTGAGTTTGCCATATTCCCCACCCCCCAAAAAAGTTGATCCTACAATAAACAAAAAAATCTTTGGGGTAACTCTACAGAAAGTACAACTCACCCCCCTACTTGGCGTTTTCTGAGAGAACCCTGAAAAAGTACTTCTGTGGTCAGAACCTTTACAATTTTCTAATTATTTTCTTCTTTGAACACCCTACAGTAAACAAAAGGGATTTCTCCCTGGGGGACAGATTGGGGACCCTAGGTGAAAAGGGGAGGTGAAGAGGAGGGACCTGGAGACAAAAAAAAGGAGGTCGCCGCTCCCTTTCCCGCAGTCCCCCGGTCAGACAAAAGGGAAGGTACTTTAGGATAGAAGGTAGAACTCCCCAACACCAACGCTTTGTTTTTAGGGGCCTCCGGGGCGTTCTAGCGCAGCAGCCAACCCTACTCAAACAAAAGGTGGGCAAGCCTATCCGGCCAGCCCGCAAAGGTTGGTACCGGATCTCTGGAAGCTTCCAACTGGAGTAGCTAGTTCAGATCACCCTGCCGGTAAGAAAGCCCCCCGCCAAAGCACCGGGGCCACAGCTGCCCCAGCCTTCAGTCAGTTCGAATTGCCGCCGGGCTACAATTCAGTGCTAGAGCAATGCAGTCCAGAATGGCAGCTAAGCTCTCCCGAGGATGGGACAGGTGCAGCTTGAGCACCTGTTTATACGACCCTGGAGTGGGGGGGGGGGGGGGGGGGGGGGGGGGGGAGGGGGGGGGGGCCGGGGGGGGGGGGGGGGGGAGTAGAAGGGGCGAGGGACAGGGGCGTGGCCAGGAGGGACTGGAGAAGGTGACTTGACGTCACAGAAAGGGACAGTCATCTAGACCGGAAGTCCCCCATACACACACCTGCACAGGTGAGACAGTGGAGTACGGAGTCTGGAACTCTGGGAAGTGCCACCTCTTAACTGGAGGTTCTGAAGGGAACTTGATTCTCCTGAAAGGGAGGGGACAACCTGAGGGTCTGTGGGGCTCCTCAGGGAAGGAAGGACTTCTGGCCACCCGAGGTTTTCCTTCCCACTTTCCCTCTGAGTCACCTGTGGTCCCTCCACACACTGACTGACCTCTCCTTCCTCTTCCCCTCCCCTTCCCCCCCCCCCCCCCCCCCCCCCCCCCCCCCCCCCCCCCTCCCCCCCCCCCCCCCCCCCCCCCGCCTCCCCTGGCCAGTCGTTTGGCTCTAAAGCCTAGTTCAGCTGCACCCAAGAGAATTGTCCCTGGACACAGAGAGGTGCCCCTGGTGCCACCCTGTGGGGAAAGGGATGGCTTTAGGGGAACCAGCTCCTCTTAGTGCAAGCAAGTCTTTCTGTCCTGACCTCCTCTTCTGGCTCTGCATTTCTCTGTCTTTGTCTATCCCTGTTTTTATAGCAGCAGATATATGGTGATATCTGGTATATAAAAGCTCATATGTATGATATGCTCATATATATATGTATGCTCATATCTTATCCCCTACCTAGAGTAAGCTCCATATTATAGGTAAGGACCACGTTTTAGCTCAAATTTGTTTGAAGGGGGAAAGCTTACTTAGTAGGTGGCAAAGAGCATGGCCTCTGGGTGGGGTTCAAATACCATCTCTGATCATTACTACCTGTGTGACTTTGGGTAAGTCACTTTAACAACCCTTCTGGCCTTCAGTTTCCTTATCTGCAAAATGACTACATGGTCTCTTGAGTTTCCTTTCAACTGCTAGACCTCTTAGTACCTTGTAACAATCCTTTTTTCACAATAGGAGCTTAACAAATAATTATGGTATTACTTTCCCTCATTACTCCCTTGCATCCCCTTCTTTCAGTCTCTACCCCATGTCAATTCTTTCTACTATAATCCCTTTTCCCCTCCTAAATATTCATTCCTATTTCTGGACTTCATCATATCTTAACTCCTGCCATGTATATTCTGTTCCCATCTTTCAATGTTGCTGGCCCTTGGCTTCATAATAATTTATCACATTTATAAAGAGCTCTTTAGCTCTAACTTTCCCTTTATCTTTTCTTCCTCATCTCTCTAAGCATCTCTTCCACCTATCTTCCTATCAGTCTTTCTCTGTTCCCATCTTTCCCTCATTTCTTTACCTCTTGTCTGTATTTCTACCCCATATCACCCCTATTTCATATCTCTCCTCTCTCCATCTTTTCCCTCTTATCTCTCCCAATCTCTTGTTCATTTCTTTCTATGCTATACCTCTCCCCAATTCCCCTCCATTTCTTCTTCATGTCTTGCACCACTTCTTTCCCCTTCGTTTCCTATCTCTTTCCATCATTCTCCTCTCCTATATTCTTTATATAATTTTCTTCCCAATTTCTCTTCCCCATCATCCTGCCCATGCTAACTTAGTCTTTCTCCATCTCAATCTCCAATATACTGTTTATTTTTCTTCTTTCCATTGTTTCCTTAACCTAGATATCTTATATTTCTCTTTCCAGATCTCTTCCGATCCTCACTTTCTCCAATCTCATTCTCTCCATTTGTCTTCCTTTCTCTCTCATCTGTTTCCCTTCCTTTCACATGTCTTCCCCTCACTCTTCTCTCAATTTCATTTTCAATTCAACATATACCTATTAAATGCCCAAGCATATTGCTGAAGATAAAAAAGATAAATATGAAACAGACCCACTCTCAAGGAGTTTACAATCTAATGGAGGGGAGAAGCATGAACATTATTATAAGAAGGAGGATACAATAAATGAATTGGAAAGGTTCAGATAAAATGCTCTGAGAGATCTGAGGAATTTTTAACTGGAAAGATGTCATGGGTGAGGTGAGTCCTGAGCTGTGCTGTAAAGGGAAGAATCTCATCAGATTGAGCAGCTCTCTAATGATAGAAGTCCATCCAGGCAGTAGGAAAGGTGTAGTGTAAACTGATATAAAATGTAAAGTATGAGATGACTGCACAGGTTGGAGTTGTAGAAAAACTTCAGTGCCAAGATAAGGAGTTTATATTTTATTTCTTGGATACTGGAGAACCACCAAAGTTTTGGGGCATGAAAGAATGATCTGATTATAGAGATACATCAAATTGGAGAAAGGAATACCAATTTTGAGGCTATTATAATCGTCTAAGCAAGAAGAGATAGAGTCTGGTTGCAGTATAAAGGAAAAACAGATATGAAAGTAAAGAGATTTCAAAGATAGAATCAAGAGAATTTGGCATTTGATTGAATATATAGAAAAAGAAGACATCAAAAGTTACTCCAAGATTACTAGTTCCTAGGTGACTGTCCCTATTTTTCCCTTCCCCTTAATCTTGCTAACTATGTCTCTCTTTCCATCATCCTTTTACCTTTCTTTCCATTTCCATCTCACTCTTTTAATCTCTCTCTTCCATTTCTCTATTCTCTTTTTTGATAGCTTTCAGCCTAATGCTTTCTCTCTTCCCCATTTCTGCCCTTTTTCTTCCTGTCTCTCAATCATCATCTCTTCCTCCCATCTTTATCTTTCCTTCTCTCACTCTCTCTAGTTCCCTTCTCATCTCTTCCAGTCTTTACCAATCATTTCCTTCTTACTTTATCCTTCTCATTTCCTATTCTGATCTTCATCCTCACTTTCTCCCCTTTCTTTCAATCTTACCCTTTTTTGCCTTTTGTCTTCTGATCTCATTCTCCCCTATGTCTCGAGTTATGCCACAAGTAAAATCATTTCCTTAAAATTGCAGGTGCCTAATTTTTAAACCTTCCTTCCATACAAAAGTTTCCTGCCTCTATCACAGATGAAGAATAACTAAGCTATCCTTGGCATGTGTAACCATCCTGGTGATTGTGGTTGGTAGCTGACTGACCCAACTTCTATTCACAATCCTCTTCTTTTCCCCCCTCAGGGGATCCGTAGGATATTATACTCTTTATTCTTCTGTCTTTGGCCAGTCACAGTTCAGTTAACCTCCAAATTTTTTTTCTCACACATATACACTAAAATTTAAATGAGTCTGTGATCTTACCATATCCAACAATGGCAATCCATCTAAGCCCGCCCATCTAGTGTGACTTCCTTCTCATAAATTTGCCAGAGGGGGCCCTGCCCTATATATTGGGGGCCTTCTCCAGTTTCTCTTGACAGTGAATAAGCTCACATGGTATCACAGGTTCATAGATCCAGAACTGGAGAAGACTTCAGGGGCCATCTAGTTCAACCCTCTTATTTTACAGTTGAGAAAACTGAGCTCAGTCCAGGCAAATTAAAGGACTTGGCCAAAGTCACAGAGATGGGATTTGAACACAGGACCTCTAAATCCAAATCCAGCACTCTTTCCACTAGGCTACATTACCATCTATAACCAGTCCACATTCTTTTTCAATCATACATTTCTTTGATGACATCCTTTATTCTGACTCCTCTTAGTTCTTTATTTGTTATGTACTTCTCCATTTTTCTCTGAGTGATAATCCATTTTAATTCTTCAGAGACAGAAGTATTCCATATATTGCATCCACACAACAAAACTGGTAGAATACTGATATTAGAAATCTAGACCTTTATTTCAGGAAGAAGATTGTGTCATGAAAGGGGCTCTGCAATTTCCCATAGACAGTCCAACCTGCTCTCCTTCTTGTGGTTAATGCTGTGTCCTACTCATTGTCCATTTGTGCCTGTCCAAGGTATATGTACCAAATTGCATTTCTGGACAATAGGTATTCTCTGTCTCCTTGGATTTTCTTATGTGGATGGTGAGGCCAAACTTTTTGGACAATGTATGAAACTCATTCAAAAGACTTCGATGATCTGGGGCTTGAAGCAACCAGCACAATATTGTATTCAAATAGCATCTTCTGAAGGTCCTCATCATCTATATAAATCTTCAGTTTCAACTTGTACCCTGCCCAGGATCTCCTCTATGCCAGCAGTGGATACCTGATAATAGTGATGCTCATACAAAACAACACCTATACCATCTTTCACTTTCTCTTCTCTCTTCCAATTCATGCCTGATTATTTCTGGAAAATCTCTTCATTCCCTTTGGAAGCCCCAAATCACTTTAATCATGTCTGATAAACCTGATGTCTGATGTTAGCGCTAGACCATTACCATGGAAAAAGAAAATATACAAGTTTCCAAGTCATATCAGATGAAAAAAGAAAATAGTGCAATGACCTTGTAAAGCCTTTCAGGAAACTCCTTGAATTAAATCTTTTTTTCTTCAAACACCAGCTTTTGAGATACCCCTCCCCCCAAAAAACTATCATGACATTATAATTAGGAGGGTATTCATAATTCAAATAGGAACTAGACTAAATGATCTCTCTTCTAACTCTAGGATTCCAGAGTTTAATTTTTACATTTTACTGCATTGCTTAATTCCTAGCATAACAACAGTACGACAGCACAGTAGGGTAGTGTAGAAATGGAAATGTATTTGGAGTTCAAGGACCTGGGTTCTTACCTGGGATCTACCACTTGCTGCATGAAAAAGTCATCTAATCTCTTTCAAAATTAGTTTCTTCATCTATAAAAGGGAAATAAATGAGTGCATTTTCAACTTCCCAGTATTAATGGGGCTGGAGGGAGCTTTGTTGCATGTGCTGTTAAGATGAGCTTGGATTGATTCTCATTGTCAGTGCTCATTATTTCTAATAAGAGGTCAAAAGACATTTGTAGCCATAATGTATAACAATAATGTTCCTAAAGGTAAAGAGCATGTTGAACTTTAGAAATCTTTTTGTAACACAG